AGATCCACACCTTCAAGCGTTCATGCTGTTCAGACACTGTAATATATGTTCTCTTTGACGCCGACTAGGTTAGCCGCACTTTTATGCACCTGTTTAGTGTTAACTTTATGTCCTCAGCTTAGAAACTTGTAAGGTTTTCTGATCTCACCCCCGATCACCAGACCCAGAGGAGTTTTTTATTCAGTCCTCAGCCAAGACTTGGATTTAAATAGGACTGGATTGAAACAATCTGATTGGACCAAATCCTGAAAAGAGTTCAGACTTAGATTAGATCAGATAATCCACTTTTGTGTTTCAGTTGAATCCTGTTAACAGTAAAAAAAAAAAAAAAAATAGTTTGGAGGTGATTGAGAAGTATAAAGTGACTCTCTCATGTTCACTTTCATGAGTTTATAACTTTGATTGTTCGTTTTTCATTTGTCCTACCTGTTTTAGGTTTCTCTCTCTCTCGTTGGTCACAGGAGCAGCACACCTGTGTCCTCTCTGATTGTCAGACTCCTGCTGAGAGCTCAGTTGAAGCAGATGGACCATTAGCAGGTTATGTAGGTCGGGAGCTGGCAGCAGGCTGCAGAAGGGTTGTTACAGAGTTTTGTGCAGTAAACTGCTGTGACATTCATCTTTATTTATCAGAGTTATTCAACCTCTCGGGTTTGCTTTTTTGCAAGAAGAGTGATTTGGTTTTGTTCATTAAAGTTTTTGAACTTTGCTGCCCCCATGAACAGGTCTGCCTCATGGTCCCGAGTCCTCTGTTGAACCTGATCATGGTATCTGAGGGATTTTAACTATGGACTGTGAAGTCCCCTTGACTCTTTTTCATAATCTGAGTACAGCAGTTTGTCGAAAATGTGATTGTCCTTTAACAAAGTGGCTTTAACTCTATTTATACAGTTTAACATGACAACCTCTGGTAAATCCTTAATTTTCTCCTGATGTCAGCATTTGACGTGGTGCAATTAATGCAGACACTGCAAGAAAAAGAATCAACCTCAACGTTAACATCCAGTAAACCTTCATAAATTATTTGCATTCAAGCTTTAAAACAAATCTATAAAGTTATTATCATCATGTTTAGAAACAACCAGGTGAAAAATATTTAAAATCACATAAATCTGCACCTTCATTAATATCATTGCACTCTAGTTTGTTTACAGCCTCGATGGCTTTTAACCACATGTGCTCTCTGTTAGATTGTGTTTTTCTGAGGAGCAGCTGCAGAAAAACCTGCAGTAGAAGAAGAATGCTATTGTGTTAGTAATGAGAACAAAAGACATCAAATGAAGGTCAAATTGAAGCTGAAGGAGCTTCAGACAACCAGGGCTGATTATAAATACCTGAATATCAAACAGCAGGCAGCCGCTCGTTCTCCAGAGATCATTGAGGATGAGTTATTTTCTGCTCAGGATGGAACAAATCAGTTTTTGGGTGCAGTGACTCAGTCCGAGCTGGACGGGAAGCAGAGTTCCCATCGAGTCTCCTAGCTTGAATTCCTGCAGTCTCGATAAAACAACCTTGACTCGGCATCACACACGTCCTCCACACAGGTTTCGTGACAAGAGAAGAGCAAGGAACAAGGATGCCGCACGCCACTCTCACGTAGAACCCACCAAACAAGATGAATGAAATGATTTTAGCGGCAGGAGCGAGGACGCAAACAGGTTCTTCTATAGCTTCAGGGTGCAGAAACTCAACACGGCAGCAGAGGCCTGGAATTTTATTATCAAATAGAATTATTAGATTTGGGATTTTTGCATTTGAACGCACAATAACTCCAAAAAGATCCATAAAGAGCTTCTTATTTAAGTGGAAATTGGAGGATTTGAGTAAACTCCCCTTGGATCTCTTTAATTTAGCATTTTAGGGTTTGAGAGATCAAGTTTTAAAGTCAATATCTCTACCTTTAGGCTTCACAGTCAAGCATGAGTAATGTCTTAAAGGTTCAGAAAAACCTTACTCTGCTTGTTTTCTTCTACCCGCACATGAAACACAAACAACAGAATTATGAAAACAAAGTTCATTGAACACATCCTTTCTTTGATGCTGCAATAAATTAACCTGACACTCTCCCTCTATTCCTTCTGTTTTTTGGCACTTTAGGGCCACCGTATAATTCTGCTGTATCAGCAGTTCGGCACCCCTGAACCACAAACCAAGACTCTATAGAACTGGATTTTCTGCAGACTCTGATCCTCCTTTAGCAGCTTTGATTTCTCTGCACTGATAAATCAAAACTCTGAGCTGATATGTGAGTTTTTAGAGCTGCAGATGGTCCTGTTACAGGAGAGGGCAGACACACACACACACATGCACGCACACATTCATGCACATATTCACGCACGCACAGGTGCCCCATATGCTGCTGCGGTGTAAATCTGTTCCTTTATCGCCTCCTGATTTCACTCCTCTGGTTTCATCGCTGCTTCTTTACTCTCATTTTCTCTTCCTGGTTCTGGACTCCATGAAGAGGATTTATGATGGTGGGACGCCTGATCTGTGCAGCCGAGACACTATTGTGGAGTTTGACTCGCTTTTTTTGAGGATACAGACCAGGTGTGAACATGAGGAGGCCAAGAATCATCAGCATGAAGAAACAAGAGGCAGAATCGTGTTAGTATAGAGAGCAGCAAAGCCATAGGCTAACAATGAGGGAGTGCCGCCATGATATTGGATGAAGAGACTGCAGACGCTTCTGCTGATTAACTCATAACAGCCTGAGAAAACGATAGCTGGAAAAAAGAGTGAGCGTTCATGAGAGGAAAGGGGAGGATCAGGTCGCTGCTGAGGATGCAAACATACTGAACTCTCTCTGGAGCTGCATCCTCATTTAAATCCACTAGAAAGTGAAACCAGAGCAGAGAAAGTTTATTTAGTGCAACCTCTGAGGTCGTGAGAGCACATCTGTTAATAATGCTAAATTTCACTATGGGCCTCCTGAAACTTGTGAGGATGTGTGGGCTGCAGGAGGAAAAGTTATGTTTGCATACTGTGTTTAATCTGAGGCTGGTTTCACTCCTGGAGATTGGTTAACTTGTTCTGGCTCAGATGCACAGCTCAAGGACACATTCTAGATGGCCTCCAGGTTAATCAGATTTAGCTTATGTTTAAAATAAAAAAGAAAGAAAAAGGCTGGTGTTACAGTTGAGCTCCAAAAGTTTGGCTTTACTTTTAGGGAGCTGACATGCCGTCCTTTTTTTTACAAACTATTAAAAACATCTCTCCTACTCTACCTCTCACCTCTGGACAACAGCCATTAAAATCAAAATATTTTTGATTGTTCAACTTTAAAAGTGATTAAGTTCCCTATTGTTGTTTAAACTTTACATTTTGGCAGCTGAACAAAGTTTATAAGAAACACTGAGATTCTGAGAATCCTCAGATAAGACCGCGGCCTGTTTACAACCTCTTTTTGAACTTGCTGTTGATGATGATGATGATGATGATGAAGATTAATGTGTATTATCATGACAAGAAATTGTGACACACTTACAGACTGTCACACAAACACACAGTGGTGCAGATTAAATATGCACATGCATGTTAGCGTTACATATGATGACACACTAAAGCATTTTAACCACACATGCTCAGTGTGGAAGCGTGTCTGTGCATAAAAAGGATCCAGATGTGAGAGGAAAGATGTCTGTCTGAGTGTGTGTGTGTGTGTGTGTGTGTGTGTGTGTGTGTGTGTGTGTTCAGATCAGGTACTTGCAAAAACATGTTGCAAAATCTAGCCTAGCCTTATACACTAAAATTCAGAATATAGAAATAACCTGTTTGATGATGATCTGTCCTTACCCTGCAGCCTATAAAGATGCATCAGCACCAACATGAGACCTTTATAGCAGCAGCTGAAACTCCTCACAGTGACTTAAATTTGATGTGAACATGCCTGAAATCAACATACAATGAGGTGCTGCATGTGGTCACCAACTTGGTCTTGGTTGTTTATTCAGAAGCGGTCTAAAAAAAAATGTTTTCAAAATGCTGATATGATGGAAACAGGAGGAGGTACACAGGTGTAATGAAGCTGTTCAGCTTGAGGTTATTACATCATAACCGTCCCAAAGATGAGGCAGGAAACATCTGCTGGCTTTCTGATCATTATATTGTCCATTATTGTTCAAATGTGCTCAGTAAAATGACAAATCTTGGCAAATTCATCCTCTAAATCAGCCGTTAAAAACATTAATCCAGAATACTGTTAGGATGATAATTGAGAAGTTTTTCTAGAAATGGTTAACTGCTTATTTGGCAGCCTTGAGTTCATCAGGATTTCAGAACCACTTCCCAAAACCTCTTTCAAATATTATCCAAAAATTATGTTGCCTCATAAGGTTCCTCCAAACCACAAACTGAGTCATAATAGCAGCCGTTCATATGAGCCTTAGGGGACGGTTATAATAGCCTTTCTAATTTAAACACGCAGGTGCACAGTGTTTTATTAGAGGAGCAGTTTGTCCAGTTTACGCAGAGCTGGAATATTCACTACAGGATGCTGCCCTCTGCTGGTCAGAAGGTGCATGTTCATAATCCAGCCTTGGTTTGAATGCTTCACCTGTAATTGTTCTCATTTTCCAGAAACAGCTGTTTCATCTCTTTCCTCAAAGCCACCAGATTATTGAGAGTGGATAACTGAGAGACAGCTGTGTTCAAATGTTGTTTGACAAAAGACACTGAATTCAGGAAGTTCCATGATGAATTTATTTGTAACAATATGTATTTAAATTCAGCAAAGAGTAACATGTATTTAAAAAGATCGGTTATGTACAAAATTAAGATGTCTCCTTGACATTTTTACTGTTACTTATAAAAATAATCAATATTAAAGATTAGCGAAAGAAAGATGAGAAAACTGTACCAAAGGACTTTAACACTGTAGACAGACTCATGTAAAAGATCTGAAACACTCTGAGAAGTTTATCAGTCTGTTTATTAAGAGACCTTTACATCATTTGTTACACACATGGACAAGTGGATCAGGTGGGTCAGGTGGTTCAGGTGGTTCAGGGCCACACGCAGCACTTGCAGCTGTCGTCAAACACAGAACCAGTCCCACACTGCCTCACGTGAGTGATTCCTCCGGCGCACATGTAGAAGCTGCTCTTGTCGTCAGGGTTGGCATACAGGCCGTCAGGTTTGCCATTGCAGAAGCCAGAACCAGGGGCGTGGGTGGTGGCGGTGGTGGTGGTGGTTGGAGGGGAGGTGGTGCTTGCTCCAGGTCTGGGGGTGGTGGTGGGGGGCAGAGGAGGCAGCTCTGATGGGTGGATGAAGGAGAAGAAGTAAGATAATGGAAAATTAATAAACAATCTGATGACAGTGACCACCACCGACCAATAGAGTATCTATAGGACGTTGCTCTTACCGATGTCCAGCAGTTTGCGGAGGTGGCTCAGCAGAGGGTGAGCTCCCTCTCCACAGAACCTTCCTGCAAAATCATCCAAATCCAGAGCCCACACAAAGGCACCACCAAACTTCTGCTGCTGCATGTAGCGAACCTATGGGGGGGGGGGGGGGGGGGGACCAGATGATTAATATGATATGAAATAGTGAATATTAACTGTGGATCTGAGTCTGCTCAGACACTGAGCTGGTGCTACTCGTACCTTAATCTCGTAGCTCTTGTGGTTGTCGTAGCCGACCCACTCGTTGTTCTTGAAGGCATAAGGAACCATCTGGTCATCGATCCATTGAGTTGTGGCTCCCTTCAGGAAGGTACAGATCTGCACAGAGGACAGAACCATGATGTTGGTGAAGCTCCGAGTTGAATTTGTCAGCACCCTCTCTGCTCACAAAGTTTTTTACACTGGTGCAGTTCACTTGAGGGGACAATGACTTGGAATCTGGTATTCTGCAGGACCATAGTTGAAGACTTTCTCCAACACATACCTCATAGTAGGCCCAGAAACCAGCTTCACGTGTGTATGGACCAGCTGCTGCAGGGCCGCTAGCTGGAGCTCCAACAGCTGTGTTTGATGATGTTAGTCTGAAGGTGCGACCATAAGAAGCGAATCCCATCCTCAGTTTCTCCACTGGGGTGCCGTTATCCCTCCAGTACTTCATGGCATAGTCCTGAAAAATAAAGAAAAGACAAGAAGGTAAACCCACCAAAAGAGGCAGCTAGCTTGTTAGCTTCTCTCGAGCTGCAGTATCTTCTTACAGTGTTAAAGTAGATAAGATCGCCGGAGTCAAAGGAGCCGCGGTACAGAGGGCTGTTGTGTCCGGTGAATCGCTCCCAGGTTCCATGGAAGTCGTAGGTCATCACATTTATGAAGTCCAGCTCCCTAAAGATGGATGAAAAAGTGAATTATCACCTCATAAACTTCTGTGGAGCTCTGGCTTCCTCTCTGGAGTCATGGTCACTCACTTGGCAATCTCAGCAATCTCGTATCCTCCATCGATGGTTCCCTTTCCAGCAGACACTGCAGCGGTCAGCATGAGCTGAGGCTTTCCGGTGGACTTGGCCTCAGCAGCATAGGCAGCAACCAGTTCCTGAAGAGACACAGCAGAAAAACAGAGTGAGAAACCCGAAGAAGAAGAAGAAGAAGAAGAAGAAGAAGCTGAGTCAGTGTCCTCACCCTGCAGAGCAGAGTGAACCTCTGTTTGTCTACTGGAGGACTTCCACGAGATCCAGGGTACTCCCAGTCCAGATCCAGACCATCAAACCCATGAGTCCTCAGGAATTTGATGGAGGACTGGATGAATGTTTGACGGTTGGCAGGGGTTGACACCATGATGGAGAACCTGCAGAGATGATAGAAGAGGGTTGGTACAAACTAAGGACATCTGAGGTCAAATTTACTGACAGAAGCTTTATATCGATATGACTCTACACACCAACAAAAACCTAGTGAAAATCATAACACACTGATGCTAATCCTGCTCCTGTTCAGTCAGTCTGTCCTCCCTCCGAGATCTCTGGAGTCCCTCTCCATGATCCATATCAAAAACTCTGTCCTGTTCTCTGATTAAATGGTTCATTTAAGCAATTGTATCTGTATCAAAAGCCTCAAGAACCCAGCATTCTAGAACCCAGAAATCTAGAACACAGCATTTTGAAACCCACAACTCTGGAAGATAACATTTCAACAGCCACTTCCACTGTTGCCATGATGCCATGATTTTTGCTGTAGTTATTTATTAATTATTTAGGATATTTAATTTGTCATTCCTGTTTTGTTTCCAGTTGTATTGTCAGTTTTTGTTCTTCTGCTCTCTAATATTCAGAGATTTACCGTTTTTTCAGGTTTCCTCTCTCACTGCCTGTCCCGACGGTCTTTATGAATCTAATGTTTTCGGGTTCAAAGACTCTCTCTGAATATGGCTGTCAGCTGTTTTAGTCTCCGGATGTCTGATCTGAGACTCTGTGTTTGCAGGACTCACTGAGTTGATCCAAAGTTCCATCCACCGACAGCCAGCAGAGTCTTCAGATGAGGGTTCCTGCAAACCGGACAGACAGACAGACAATTAAGACTTTGTGATATTAAGCTGTTAATGCTTCTGCTAAGTTCCTCAAAAACTTCTCAGAGAGCTTTGGAGCCTCATCAGCTGACCTCTGACCTCTGAGCCGCTGAGCTGAACCAATGGGAGCTCTTACTTGCTCTTGAGGCCGTTGAAGGACTTGTAGAGGACGTCATCGTTCCACTCGTAGGTAACCAGCTCGTTCCTGTTGTTGATGATGGAAAAGGCGTAGATCAGGTGGGTGCACAGGAAGGGGTCCACGTTCTGTGGCATGAACTTCCCTTCCCCGGGTCTGTACTGGGACCAGTTGGTGAAGTAGCACACCATCTGGGAGGCAGTTGCTGCGATGGAGACAGAGCAGATGTTAGATCAGAAAAAAAGAACATATAAAGGTTTCTATTAGTGTGGGTCTGAACCAGCTGATGAAAACTCACCCACATGGCACAGGACCAGGCAGAGGCCTGAGGAGGACAGAGACACAGGTGAGGACATAAAAGGACATTTTCAATATAAAGAATTCATGACTCTGCAGGTGGATGTTATCATAGAGATAGAGGCTAAATACCTGCGAGAACTGTGAGTCTGGTCATTTTCAGTTCACTTCTGACGCCTTGACTTGGTTACTGAAAGACAGAAAGTGAAGAATGAAAAGTCAGGGTCCTGTATGAGTCCTGCATGAGGGCTCAGGGGTGGATCTGCTCTGCTGTGTACTCACCTTCGGAGCTGATGAGAGACCCAAAGCTGAGCTGCAGAGTGTCTCCTTTTATACTCTCAGAAAGAACAGAGCTGAGGAATTGTGGTAATAAATTTGATGATTAATAGGACGTGTTTTTCGATAAGATTCTGCACAGTCTGGACTCACGTAGACAATCATTTACTGACTGATCAGACTGCAATAGAGGTCAGTGGACATATTATCATTATCTGTTATTAATCAGCCACATGAGCAGAGTCCTGAGGATCAGAGTCCTGATATTACACCAACGTTTAGGTCTTCTTGTGTCTGAGCTTATGTAACAGGACATCAGACACTCGGACTATCTGTCAAATATTTCAATCAGCAGCAAAATAATCTCTGTCAGTGTCAATAAAGCTGACACATACACTTTGATTTAAACTCACACTAAACTCCTGTGTTTGAAATTTATTATTTGAGTAGAATTAGAGCCAAAAATAACAAAGACTGATGGGAAACTGTGAATAAAAACATTTGATTTTGCAACTTTTTGCTGAAAATATGCATCTGCACGTTGCGTAGTGTCTGTTTTTATTTTGCTACGTTTTTGAATGTCCATACCATCCGCTTTTTAACCCAGAGAGCCTGACTGCAGAAATCATTTTTCTGTCTGTTTGCATGTGACATCTGTGTCTCACTCTTTAAATTGTGTTTCCTGTTTCTAATGCAGATCTTTAGTTATATGTTCCTGGTTTTAGATTTTGTCATAAATAGAAGGGATTCAGTGAAACTGGCCTGAAGCTCATTTTCTCACATGAATTTGTACTGACATAAAAAGATTTTAAAAAGATTACTTCAACAGCACAGAGAAACTCTGAACAACTTTACAGAGATTATTCAAAGATGCTGAGCAACATTCCTGATGGGAGAAAATACCCAGGAACATTTTTTTTCTACAAAAAATAATGATGCAAGTAATAAAGACAGAAAGGCAGCAAGACAGAAAGACGTGTCTGCAAAAACACAAAACGGAGAAGCATCAGTGGTAATGCATTAATTATAAATGAATACAATGTAAAACTGAACACTGTTCAACCTGATAATACATAGTGAAACTAATTCCTGGAAAATTACTCACTAAAATCACACACAGTAAAACTTTACACTGACACATTATACATTGCAAAGCTAAATACTGTTAACCGCTCTTTTAAAAAACTTTGCACTGTAAAATTTAAGACTGTAAATTCGTTAACATTTATTTACAGTAGAATACTGTAAATAATTGCACTGTAAACCTTTAGACTGTAAGTTCGTCTACAGTAAACCACTGTTAATAAATGCACTGTAAACCTTAAGACTGTAAATTCATTTACCGAAAAACACTGTCAATAAATGCACTGTAAACCCTCAGACTGTAAATTAATTTACTGTAAACCACTGTTAATAAATGCATTGTAAACCTTAAGACTGTAAATTCATTTACAGAAAAACACTGTTCATAAATTTACTATAAACCTTTAGACTGTAAATTTATTTACCCATCTACAGTCTATATCCTGTTAAACTGAGGAAGACACTGAGGGATGTTTTCGGGTCAACATGTGCAGTTTAACAGTAATAATCATGACTTAAAAACGTGAAATAGTAAAACCAGTTTAATATTGATCATTATGATAATTATGATGACCCTAAAATTAAAACACCTAACATCTCTATGAACTGATGAGAGCTGACTATTTCAACATACATAGGGAAAAATAATAAATAACCACATCATCTATATAATCTCTGTGTGTGTGTGTGTGTGTGTGTGTGTGTGTGTGTGTGTGTGTGTGTGTGTGTGTGTGTGTGTGTGTGTGTGTGTGTGTGTGTGTGATCATCTCAGCTGTATATCTCTGATTAGTTTTATCTCTTTTCTTCTTTGAACAAGGGAACAAGGAACGCTGAACATTGACCATCGATATGTTCCATCAACAGAGACCTGTTGTTTTTCCACCTGACAACAATCAGCTCACACACACACACACACACACACACACACACACACACACACACACACACACACACACACACACACACACACACACACACACACACACACAGGGTTATTCTGGGACAGTAAATGCACTCATGGTTACCCGGCTGAGGACAAAAAAGAACATGGATCCACCGACCCTGAGGAGGAAAGCTGCAGCAGAAGAAAGAACTTTGAGGATGATCTACAGACGTTCGAAATAAAGAGTCATGTGTTGGTCATGAACATCCATGATCAAATCTTTGGATCTTTCAGATCCATAACCTTGTTCCACAAATGGATCATTGTTACATATAGATGAAGTTTGGTTCTGTTCATTTTGTTCTGCTTGAATTCATGTTTTTTTTAATCAGCTGTAGTTCTGCTTCTTCTCTATTCTGTAATCATGTTCTTTGTATTAATTGTTTTTGCATCAAAACTCAAGACTGTCTCAGGAATAGACAGGGTTTTTGGTCTCTCTCAGGTCCCTGTAATAACATGGTTCATGCTTTGTTTTCTCAGACCTGTATTAAAGTCACCCATTGAGGTCCATTTCAGTCCTCCTTCAGGACCATCTTAAAGCTGGTTGACCTGTTGCTGGTGTTGTTCAGACTGTTAAACTCAGCTCTTATCTGCAGGTGTGTTTATCGCTGCCTGTTTCTGCTCAGAGCTGTCGGTGATATGAGGACAGTAATCGTGACTTCTTATCCTGTTATTTAATATTTGTAATCAGAGAAAGAACTGCAGCAGCTTTGAGTCCCCACACAGATGCAGAGCTGACTCACCTGTATGATAGACCTCAGCATCAACAGGAATCTCTGCGGGGACTCAGAAATCCCCTGAGACTGATAGGGGTGAACAAGGGAGCACTTCAGTCTAAAATCTGACGACTAGATATTGCTAAATATCGCCCACTGAAGCTTTAATTTGAGAGTCTTGACTCTTCATGCAGAAAATAGACTTTCTCATTCATATGAATCCACCCGAAAAGCTTTTAAAACTTACCTGGAGGTCTCAGAGGTACACACAGAGTTTTCTGTCTTCTCCTATCAACCTGAGCTCTGCAGACATTCATGTCCTCCTCTTCTTTACATCATGGAGTAATATGGATGGGTTCAGTTAAATGGAGGTACAGAGGGGATGAGATAAGACCTGGACAGGCTGACAGACACTGATAAATTGCAAACTTTCAGGTTTCATTTATGAAGTCAGAGCCTCTTCCAGGAAAAACGGGTTTCAAGAGTAAGAATCTGATAAGAATTAAAATAACGTCTTTAATTCAGATTCACACAGAGGTCCTATTTCTCCACTCATGCTGCAGAGAGCTGCTGTAGTTCCAGGTCTGGATGTGATAACGTCCATCAGCCTGTTGTTGGCAATCAATGATTAATGGGCCTGTTGATTATCAGATTATATAACTCACATTGATGAGGGCGTGACAGTGGGGTCTGACATGGTTTTTGTTGTTTCATAATGAGGACGGCCCACCTCTAATCTGAGCTACAGAAACACCTCAGCATCATAAACCTGAACTCTAGTAGGGCGGCTCTTTGGTACTGTCTCCGAGGTTTATCAGCTGTTACTACCACCAGGTTTTGTTCAGTTTTCACCTAGAGATAATGACGTCTGTTTGTTTCTGAATCTCTCAGCATCAGCTGTTCACTGAACAAACTTTGTGGAGGCCAGCTGCTGTGATTCAAAGACTTCCCCTTTTAACCAGTAGAGGGTGATGGTATGAGTCTCTGCAAACTGCTCATGGGTAGAGGGTCTGTCTGTGTCCCACAAATATCAGCCCTAATTTAAGTAAACTCATCTTGACAGGGGATTTGCGGATAATCTGCTCTTTGTGTCATGCAGGGTGTTGGCTTTAGCATTTAGCCCCTAAATAAACCAGCTACCTAAGTACTTCATTTCAGCTACTGTCTCTTTAAGGGACTTCAGGGACCTCTAGAACCCAGCATTCTGGAACCCAACATTCTGGAAGACTGCATTCTGGAACCCAACATTCTTGAACCCTGAATTTAGAACACAGCATACTAGAGTCCTGCATTGGTTCTGTTGGGGGGAACAGACCACCTGAATAAAGTGAACTGGAAAGCGGCCCTGTACTGAGTGGGTGTGAATGTGGCTTCTGGTGCTTTCTGAGCCACCATCTAGAGGACACTGGAGGAACTGCAGTTTTCGGCTTTCCCACATTGGCATAGTTTCCAAAACTGAATGTTGCTGCTCGTTGTCTGTTCTATAGGTAATGGTTTTAGCTCTTTCATTTTGACTGTACAGGGATCACAGAAACTTCTGTTAGCACTCTGCCAGAGCAATGGATTAAACAGAGTGGCGACAACTTCAGATCTCGCCGCCGGAGCGGTCACGTGGTTCATGTACCCCTCCATAGTTCCAAACGCAGCCTGCACTGTCCATGCTCTTCAACGGGGCAGACTGCAGTGAGCGCGCATTTAAGAGGTAAATATTAAAATTAACCGTAAAAAGTCAACATTTGCAACTCTTATTGGATTACTGTGTACACGTCAAAGTCACGTACGTATATTTAGCGGCTGGATGACAAATAAAAGTGAAATAAGACAAGAATGGTAACACGTGTTACTTTTTAATAAGAGAAAATAATACAATAAAGTGGTAAGTAACAGGTGTTACAAGCTGTTTAAACAATTGTGCAATGTTTTGGTCTTGCAGCATGGCCTGCATAACATTTTTTCATGTTAAACATACGCCTTAAATGCTGACAGGATTTAAAAAGTAGCGGCCCCTTAACTCTATCATCCCATAAGCAGAAATCAAATTACATAGCACTTACGTTAAATTGCATATAACATCGGGAACTGATAAAGGCTGAAATCTAAAATAAAGCCCATAAGTAACCATCTCAACATATGATTGATGATGATGATTTATCTGTGATTCATAACTCAGTCACACAATAGATTTTGGCAGGCCTCTACAGCTGACGACGTCCAGCTAGCAGGCCGTGGCTAACAAATCGATCCCAATTCCTTACTAAAAAAAACGTAATTACATTTGTAATTACAATTTGAGCATACTAAAATTAAAATCATTTTACATATAAAGGGGTCCCTCGATACCATTTACACACGTATTGGCATTACATTTGTTGATACAATATTTTACATCGGGGAGTGTGGGAGCAAACCGTGGCTAAAAAATCGATCCCAATTCCTGACTATAAAAACGTAATTACATTTGGGATATACATTTTTACATATAAAGGGGTCCCCTCGATATCAATAACACATGTATTGGCATTAAACTTGTTGATACTTTATCATTTAACCTCGGTGAGTGCTTGCCTTGTGGCCATAGAAGCGAACGGCGTCGGACGTGACAGGCGGTCATGTTGGAACTAATAAGCGTTCCATAACCCGGAAAGTGGGGTCCGCCGGGCTGTACAGCGTATGCCTATGGGAGTGTCGCCACTCTGTTTTAATCCATTGCTCTGCATTCTGCTACATGACACAGCATCAACACTGCACTGATTTGAACCATCTTCAGTGACCAGGCTGAAATATAATATGTAGTCTATAGACAGTATGATCAGTGCATCCAGGGCTCCAGCAGTTGATGTAAACCATTAAGATGGAAGACTGAGAGCAGGTTGGATTTATCTGATGAGCTGCAGGTTCTGAGCTCCCATAAAGATGTTAAAACTCATTTTTCCAGTTTAGTCATGTAATGGTCCTGTTTGATGGGCACTTAGTATAGTAAGCCAGCTTTATTGGTAACAGCTGATTGCAAAGGTGTAAATTACTGCTCCCTTGTGGACAGTATTATGTATCTGTAGAGCCAGAAGCTGCAGTTTTAGGACAGGACTTGTGCTGCTGCAACAATTAGGATTGTCATCACAAACAGCAAGGGTCTTAGGACTGCAGTCCTAAATCTTCATCAGATAACTGACCATCAGTTGCTTTAGTCCATAAAAGGACTGTGTCCAGTTTTTAATGTGGCTGACAAAGATTCAAAATATCACTCCACTGTCTATTATAATCAAGACTGAGTTCAGTCAAGATCTAAACTCAGTGTTTGGTCCCGATTTTCTGATGATCACACAGCTGTGAGGGAGTCTGGGGCTATGATTCGAGAACCCCTAGGGAAAAGGATTTATGAGTTTATGAGGCAGAGAGTGAAACATTTATTTGAGCCATCATGAGTAAAGACAGAAGGAAACGGAGATCAGGTTTATACTTAAACTCCAGACTGAGACATGACCAAGTACACAGAGTCTTGTAAAAAGAAGGTTTTATTTATTTATTTATTTGGTGTGGTACAGCACTAAGCTGTGACCCAGCTCCAGGGACTGATCAGAGGAAGCTGGGTCCCTCTCATGGGTCTGGGACATTTTAGGACCTCTGTGAGTTTGTGGTTCAGGTCTAAGGCAATCAAGGCCAGTTGCAGCACTTGCAGGAGTCCCAGTAGATGAGTCCAGGCTGGCAGCGGTGCAGGTAGGTATTCCCCTGGAAGCACTGGAAGTAGGTGGTCCTGTCAGCTGGGTTGGTGTACAAACCATCCGGGCGACCACGGCAGAAATCAGCTATGGGGTCTCTGGTGGTGGTGGGGGCTGGGGTGGTGGTGGGCTTTGGTGGGAATCCTGCAGAAACAGACATTTACTGATGAATTCATGTGTCTCTGGTGTTCCTTCAGTTAATTCAGTAAATAAAAAGTATGAGACAGTAGAGGCAAAGGAGACAGTTCAGGATTTACCCAAGGCATGCCTCAGACTGTTGGTGAGAGGATAAGGTCCACCAGCACAGGGGATTCCCACAAAGTCATCCATGTCAAGAGTCCAGACATGAGCACCTCCCAGTCTGTTCTCAGCCACCCACTCAGCCTGCAGGAGAACATCACAGAGAGCAGACATGATTGATGGACACATGAACAGATGAACCTGCTGCAGAGAACCATAGCTCCTGAACTGATCACTGTGACATGGTTTTAAGTCCTGGTTACCTTGGCAGCCAAGCTGCGCAGGTCATCATAGCCGACCCAGGAAGAGCCGAATGTGGCGTAAGGGACCTCCTGTTCAGGGATCCAGTGCTCAGTGGAGTGAGGGATGAAGTCACAGATCTGGCAACAGCAGGAACAAAACAGAGTCAGAAAAACTTAGGATTAAATTGACCAAGACCCAAACACCTGAAGAAGACCAACATTTGGACCTGATAGTGAATGTCTGAATGATGCTGGTCTGTGTGGGATTGAGAAAGACCTCTTTTTTTCAGGCTAAGACTTGACAACAGTAGATGAAGGACTGACCAAACTCCTCTAACTCAAACCAGATCCAGAAAGTTCATGTTGGATCGTCTTTGTGAGTCTCATATACTTGATCTCACTCAGGAAAGGAAAAAACTCCTCACTGTTGGATCTGTTGGTTTATGGCTCAGAATGGGTTACCTTTACTGATCTGGATCACACTGCACTTCAAAGGACCTGACTACTCTGGAGGAGAACAGGAGGTTGTAACATGTAGAGATCTGATCTGCTTCCTGGACAGGTTCGGCCTCAGCCAGGTGACCATAGACTGTATAAAGAATGGACAGAGTCTGCCTCCTCGCTGGGTGAAGCCACTCCGAGAACAGCACCCTCTGTTGATGGGCTGCAGTATAGGTCATAAATCCCGCCTCTGCCAGCAAAGCTTATGGAGCTGTGGACCAACTTTAGAAATTTATTACACAGAACATAAATTTTTCTCCCCCCTGCTTGCGATGTTGACATTTAGTTATTGTAAGACTGGTTTGTGCTCAAGTCCTCTTTTTTCTGTGAAGCTCCGTTTTTAAAAGTTATTAGGGGGTTCACGTTTGCTATGATTGACACCTGACACAGCCTATGGGCGTTCAGGGATCGAGTAGCTCTCCCGTGGATACGCTGTTTGAGCCGAGCGTCATCACAGTGACTCTCTGCAACTGCGTGGCCGAATGCGCACAACGCTACTGCAAAGTGCTTGTTTGAGGAAATGAAGAAAAATCCTGGAATTACCGAGAGCTTTTTGGCTTTTTGGCAGAAGCAGCTTGTCTATAGTATATACAGTCTATGCTGGTGACGAATCAACAAACATAGCAGCAGTACTGAGACTTCATTGGACCAGTATAGGTGGATCTCACATTTTTCAACTTAACGTCTGTCATGCAGCCAACACTCTAAATGACATATTGTTTTAACAGAAAAACAGAACTATCGGGACTCTGACTCACCTCATAGTAGGACCAGAACCCGGGAGTGCGAGTGTAGGGTCCTGCATCAGCTGGACCGTTAGCCGGGGCTCCCAGACCATTGGCACCAGTGCTGAGGCGGTAGGTCCGACCATAGGTGGGGAATCCCAACAGCAGCTTCTCAGCAGGTGCTCCCTTAGCTATCCAAAGACTGATGGAGGAGTTCTGATGGAGACAAAGACCATCAGTCCATCAGTCTGACCCAGTATTCTCACAGTGACATTAGCGGGGTGTGTTTGGGCTTACGATGTTGTGATGGATGTGTGAGCCTAAGTCCAGAGAGCTGCGGTACAGAGGGCTGTTGTGTCCCGTGCGTGCCTCCCAGTGTCCATGGAAGTCGTAAGTCATGACATTGATGAAGTCCAGTTTGCTGTTGGTTTAAAATTTTGGATCAGCACTTTCATGAAATCAGTTTAAATCAACATCTTGTCCCTGGAGGACTTGATCCAAGGAGGGCTGGGTAGCACTTCACCACTAGGATGCCTTTGATTCAGTACTTTCAGGAAGTAAGAGGTAAAAGTCAAACTCACGCTGAAATTTCGATGACCTCGTAGGCGGCATTGATGGTGGAATAGAAACCAGCAACACTAGCTGACAGGAGCAGCTGAGTCTTCCTGGTGTCTCTGGCATCATCCTCAAAGGCTTTTACCAGCTCCTGCAGACAGAGAGAGACGCAAACAAACACCTCAGAGGGGCTGGTCTCCTACGACAGCACCACGGACACAGCATCAGTGTGGTGGACTACAATCACAACGGCACATGGACATCTACGAGCTTCTGTTCTGTTGGAGATGATGTAAAGATGAGCTGAAATACAAACACTAAACTTATAAACCAGGCGAAACAGCAGTGGTAGGTCCAGAGGGGGCCAAGGGGGGCACCTATCCCTCTGTCACCTTCAAGTATGTCAAAATACCTGAAAGGCTCTTAAACATGCAGAAAACAGCAAACAAGGCCCGAGCCCTCGCAGTGGGAATCACTTAATATCACTCAATACAACCTGGGAGACACAATCCAGTTTGTCACTTTAGGAAACTTCAGAGACCTCCAGAACCCAGCATTCTGGAACCCAACCTTCTAGAACCCTGCCTTCTAGAACACACATCTCATCAGGGGATAAACAAAATGCCCTCTGACGTAAAATAATATAAAATGTTAAAAAAAATATGTCTTTAGGTGCTTTATTAAGTGAATGAGTGGAAATGTAGTGCACTGTTGCCACTGTAGTGAACTACTGTATATATAAATAAATAAATAAAATAATTATATATATATATATATTTTTTAGAAGATAAAGTGTGAACTGAGTGTCCGTCCAGATGATATATCTCCCTGCTCATATGTGTGGCTCCTGTCCCGGGTTTTACCAGCCCTGATTTTAAAACATGAACTAAAACAGGAGGTCCACACTGACCTGGACCAGCAGAGTGAACCTGGTCTTGTCGTCGTCCGGGCTGCCATTGTGTGCAGGATACTCCCAGGCCAGGTTAAGACCATCAAAGTTATGAGCTCTCAGGTAGCTGATAGCTGACCTGATAAAGGTTGCTCTGTTTTCAGCTGTGGACACCATGCCGATGAACCTGCAGGGGGCGTAAGAGACAGCGTCAGAGGGTGGAGTGATGGACTTGGTGTGTGATGATGTTCATGATGAGGGAGTTAGACTCACGGGCTGATCCCATTGACTGTTCCTCCCACAGACAGCAGAGTCTTCAGATCAGGGTTACTGACAGGACACACACACACACACACACACACACACACACACACACACACACACACACACACACACAGTCATAACCTCATTATCACTGAATGACTCAGAGTCTTTAGTTCTTTAGTTCCGGATATTCCGGCTCCTCATTGGCTGTCGCTGTCTCTTTCACTCTCTTTAGGATTTTAACAGATTCTTTAAATAATTACGACCACTGAATATCAGTGAATATTGGTGAATATTGGTATTAATGATGTTAATTCTCCCACTGGTTTTCTGAACACTCACACGTTCTTGTGCACGTTGAGGCGGACGAACTGCTGCTCGTCGTTCCACTCGACGGGGCTGATCTGGTTGAAGCTGTTGATTGTAGCCAGGCTGTAGATGATGTGTGTGCACAGGAATGGGTCGATGTTGTCGGGGGTGAATCTACCAGTGCCGGGCCTGTACTGGGCCCAGTTGGTCATGTGACACACCAGTTTGGTGGATGAAGCTGAGGACAGAGCAGTAGTGAGGAGATTTGACTTTCATTATATGATAAAAAAAAAAAATGGATTGAAACTGACGGGTGTTTAACTCACCGATCTGCAGGACGAGCAGGACGCCCAGAGCTGCAAATGAAACAGAGACTTTAAAATGAACATGAGGATCTAAGGTGACTTTGAGGGTTCATTTATGTCAGCTGGGTCCCCCTTTGAGAAAAAGCCTGAGTGAGTGAGTGAGTGAGTAAGTACCTGTGAGGACTTTCATGGTGGTATCTGGAGATCAGATGATTATCTTCACGGTGACTCTGTGAATGAGATGAAGAAATGAGGTTAGAAAAGCAGCCTCAGACGTGTCAGCTGTTTCTAATGCAACATTCAGCTTTTACTCCGTCTGTTTAGTAGATTCTTAGTTTTTTGTGGCTCACCTGTTGCAGGTGTGGATATCTGTCCTCAGGTAGAAGAGAGTCCCGGGTCTCTGTAGACTGGTTCGGATTTATATTTGACTCATCAATGACTAATAAGCAGGGTCAAAGTTCAGCTGATAGCAGGTGACGGACTGATACCTCTAATAACTTCAGAGCAGGTGAGACTGAAGGTGAGGCTGAAGGTGAGACTGATTTACATCTGCTGGGAAACCACACACACACACACACACACACACACACTGAGGGTGGTTTGGTTCATTACAGGAAATAATGATGGTCTAATAAAGTAATAATAAAGGTAAATGGTTGATCTCGAGTTTCTGGCTGGGGATCGGTTCTCTGTGCCCTGATAGGACCTGCGTCACCTGTCAGACTTCAATAAATGAGCTGACTGATATGGTTTATCACTCAGGTACAGGCAGGTCATGACAGTGTATTAATGACCCTGGACTAAGCAGACCTGCTTTCACTAAAGGCCTCATCTAATCTGGTCTGTGAGGAAGAGGATCAGAATTTAGGCCTGTGATACTGATCCATATTTCAAACATATAAAGTCACAGACTTGGATGTTCAAACCTCAGCAAAGTCTCAGAGAGTTGGCGTGATCTCCTGACAGGTTTCCGTTAAGAGACATGACCTCATGACATCAGATTCAGCCGTCCAATCAGGTGGATGCTCAAGGATAAGCCCACTCAATAAAAATACAAAGACATGCCCACTCAAAGTCTGTCTCCCTGCTGGTCTTCTTCCTCCTCTGTGTTGGTCTTGTCTGTCTCAAAGGTCCCTCTCAGTCCTCCTTTGAAACCTGGAGCTGATCATCTAGAAAGACCTTCATGAGGCTCAGAGACACAAACTGTGACCAACATTACAAAAGGACAGACTGGAGCTACTGCTGTGTAAAAAGAAACACCCCAAACTGTGTCTGACTTTCTGAGGAGTTTCAGTCAGAGGCTGTAAGGTTTAACAGACTCGGGTTTGAGATAGATGAGGAGGTTTTAGAGCTCCTTATCCTGCTGACCCAGACTGACAAAGTGAACAGTGGAAATGAGGAAAAACAACAGCAATGGTACATAAGGATCCACAATGCTGCTTTTCAGTATTTTCTCCATCTTTAATGATGATTAGTAACCCAGGCTAGACTCACAGGACTGTTATAAAAACTTTTATCACTTTTTTCCTGCCTAAGTGTCATGATATATTCTGCAGATTTAGTTTTTTCCTGGTTTTGTTTATTCTAGTGCATTTTCTGTGTATCTTTCCTAGTGTTCCTGTTCCCCATGATCATGTCTTGTGTGTTTTAGTTTGTGTCTGACTGTTTCCCTACTGTTCTCAATGTTTTATTCTTTAGATCAGTTTTTCAGTGTTTCTTGTTTGATTTGTAGTAGTCCATTATTTTGTGTATAGTCTTGTTTCACTTCCCCTCCTTAGTAATTGTCTGCACCTACACTACAGGCCAAAAGTTTGGAAGCAAGATCAGATTTGTAAAAAAAAAAGATCATAGTTTCATATATATATATAATTTGCAACACAATAAACATGACTATTGTGTAAAGAGTAACTTATCAGATGACATTTTGACTATAATTATTAGGTATTTGAGTTTTTGTTGCTTAGACTTTGCTTTCTTTAAAGTAAACTTCTCTGGCTTTAACAACAGCTTGGCATATACCAGGCATTCGTTCCACAAGTTTTTTAAGGTATGTTCCAGGGATTGCATTCCAAGCTTTCTTAAGTTCATTAAAAAGAGACTGCTGATTTGTGGGACATGTTTTTCTGACCGATCGATCCAATTCATCCCGCACAAGCTCAATTGAGAAAGGTCTGGAGACTGAGGGGGCCAAACCATCTTTTGAAGAACACCTTCCTCTTCTTTTTGTCTAGGTAACCCTGACAGAGCTTGGCAGAGTGCTTAGGGTCATTGTCTTGCTGCAAAAAAAACTTATGAGCCACAAGTCTGAGTCCAGATGGAACAACATGGTGCTGGAGGATGGAGTGGTACTGTTCCTTCTTCATGATACCCTTTACTTCAAACAAATCTTCTACTCCATCACCTGCAAAACATCCCCATACCATGGAACTACCACCTCCATGCTGAATTGTGGGTGTAACACATGGAGCTTTCAGACGTTCACCAGTTTGTCTGCGGACATAGACTCTGTGTTTTGAACCAAACAGTGCAAACTTGTTTCTAGTCATCATAAGTCCAATTTTTGTGAGCTTTTGCCCACTCATATCTCTTTTTCTTATTCAGTGGACAAAGTAGTGTTTTTTTGCAGATACACAACCCTTCAGACCAGCCTTTCTCAAACACCATTTCACGGTTGTCAGAGATATGGGTTTCAACCTTGTCATGTTGATTTCCTCCCTTATTTTTTGTGCTGTCTTTCGCCGATCTCTCTTACTGGTGACAATGCTATGTTTATCCTCTGCTTTTGCAGTAACTCTCTTTCGTCCAGGTCTTTCTCTATCATCATAACTTCCAGGTTTCTCTAGTCTCTTCAGAGTGTAGTGGACTCCTTTGTTAAACACCTTTAGGCGTTTTGCAATTTCTCTTTCTGTGTATCCTTCTTTTCTCAGTGTACAAATCTGTACTTTTGTTTCTTTACTCAGTTGCTTCTTTCTAGCCATTTTTGCGGTAGTTTGAATGCAGTTGAGATTCAGTAGGATTTTTGTATGCAGACTCTCAAAAGCCAAAAATTTGAAGCAATTAATCCAACTGTGATTTTTTTTTTGCTTTTGCACTGAAGTTGTGCCTCTTGCAAATGTCAACCCTAAAACTAATCCCTTATTATCTTTTGCAGATATATATTTAGCAATGGTCTGTTAACATTGATGTATATCTAAAGGTAAATGGAGTAAAACGGTGCATTTCCATGAAAGCAACATCTGATCATGGAGTAAATACATCCCAAAATACATAAAACTCATGCTGGATTTTAGAAAAAGCATTGTGAACAAAGACTTGAAGTTACTCCCAACTGTTCGGCCTGTAATGGCCTTGCTTCCAAACTTTTGGCCTGTAATGTATGTCTCAGGCTGTGTCTCAATTCAGGGTCTGCACTGCCCTTCTGTGCACTTGACTACCCTGGGTGAGGTAGATCATTTTTTGTGATCCACCCTTCAGAAGACTTCCTGGTTGAGTCGCCAAATGTCCCCACTCTCAGGTTCGCGCCATGACTGACTTGAAGAAAAGCCGCGGAGCGGAGCAGTTGTTTTTTTAATTGTGCGACCTTGCATACATACAATACATACACAAAACAAGAGACACAGAGACAAAAAAATCCAATAATGGCATGTTTTGTTGGAAGGAGTTAATCCATCTATGCAGCCGTAAATAGCCGTGAATGGCATTGGGCTTTAGTTTATGATATGAATGCATATGCCATAATAAGGTGTTGGTGTCTTTGCAGGTGTAGGTTACCGCCAGTGTCAAAGACCTGGTGCTCGTCGGAGCTCGACTCCCTTTGGATTGCAAATGTTGACTATCAGTAGGATTGTTTCTTGAGAAACCACAAAAGCCCTCTGAATGGCCCGCTGATACATCCACAGATAACCCTGCAGTTGACTAGTTCCAGCCATTTCCCCCTCCACATAAGCAGCTTTATGACTACTTACTTTGTGACTTTATTCTCCTTTCATTTTTACGCTGATGATTGTCAGATCTATTTTCCACTTGCACAGAACAACTCCAACTCAGTCCAGCAACTCACTGACTGTCTTAAGGACATTAAAGCCTGGCTTTCTTTTAACTTCCTCAGTCTAAATGAGAACAAGACCGAGGTAATGATGTTTGGACCAAGTGGAGGCCACCCCCCCAACATCGACCTAGGCTCCCTCTCACCCTACCTTAAAGAGGTCGTCACTAACCTGGAAGTTAAGTTTGACCCTGATTTTAAATTTGAGAAACAGATCAGCGGGGTGGTACAAAAAAGTTTTTATCAGCTACGTCAAATAGCCAAGGTGAAGCCCATTTTATCAAGACCTGACCTGGAAAAATTAATCCATGCTTTTATAACTACCCGTCTTGACTACTGTAACTCTCTGTATGTAGGGATTAGCCAGGCTTCCCTTGCCCGCCTGCAGCTTGTGCAGAACTCTGCTGCACGTCTCCTCACCCAGACCTGCAGGCGTGAGCACATCACCCCCATCCTGGCATTCTTACACTGGCTCCCTGTACAGTACAGAATTCATTTTAAGCTTTTAATATTTGTTTTTAAAAGCCTGAACAATCTTGCTCCACCTTACATTTCTGAAATGCTCCAGCCTTACTGCCCACCCCGACCCTTAAGATCAGCCGATCAGCTGCTACTGACGGTCCCATATACAAGGCTGAAGCTCAGAGGGGACAGAGCGTTTGCTGCTGCTGCCCCGAAGCTCTGGAACGAGTTGCCCTTGAATATCAGACAGGCCTCCTCATTTCCTGTTTTTAAATCCCTTTTAAAAACACACTTTTACTCCTTGGCTTTTGATACTTTTTAGTGTTACTTTGTTTTTTATCATTTTAGCACCTGCCGTGAGCCTGCTTATTTATTTACTTATTTATCCCCTTGCATTAATGTATTTCTGCTCACTTTATCTTGCTCTTTGTGTTATTTGTTTTATGTTTCATTGTACAGCACTTTGACTACCCTTGTGGTTATTTTAAAATGTGCTATAGAAATAAAGTTGATTGATTGATTGATTGAAGTTTACAACTTTAATCTTTAAAAAAATGTCTCGATGTGGCCCTGATACTCCAATGTAGTTTTGGCAGCTTTCTTATTTCTAATGTTTTCGATTGTGGTAGCAGAGCGGATCAGTTCTTTTGTAAAGAGTATCATGTTTGGTTTGCAGCTGCAGATTTCAGTGAGTTAAGAGAGCATGCGCTCATGGAGCCTATGCTGACTGTCTTGTGTTTTTGGATTTCCTTTATTTTTTCTGAAGAGGCACTGTGTCTCCAAGCAAATCTGATGTCTAACCGGATATGCGCAGCTGTGCAGCAGCATGCAAAGAATTCTGGGGATTACAAGGCCATAAAGCGTGCGTAAATGCATGCTTGAAAAAGGGACGGGGGCAGGGCGGTTTTGGGATCGCATTTTAAGCAGAATTGCCAGCCAAATGGGACACCCTCAGTGCCGCACAATGATATCACACACCCTTGAAATCCACACTTTGGCGGTGGTCTGGACCGTATAAGTCTTTAAAAAAAATCTCAATGTGGCCCTCATATTCCTTCGTGCAAAACCATCATTGGATGAATTTTGTGGAAATGATCTGTAAAGTCCTTTCCTCTTTTTGGTTGTCACTTTGTTGTTTGTTGTATATAGTAACCCCTGTGTGCTTGTATGTGTGTATTGTTTTGTGTCTCTTGTTATGTGTATGTATTGTATGTATGCAAGGTCGCACAATTAAAAAATACCTGCTGCACTCCGCGGCTTTTCTTCAAGTCAGTTGTGATGCAAGCCTGAAGGTGGGGACATTTGGCGACTCAACCAGGAAGTCCTCAGAAGGGTAGACCCATAGATATCTGTAAGAAAGGCTAGATGACTCGAGAAGAGTCACCGGCATCCCTACATGGCAGCCATCTTACTCCAGAATACCTTTCTGGTACGCACTATGCTGATGGAGGTGAGTAATCTGCACGATCAAAAATACTCTTAGCTCGCTGAAACCTTGACAGATTTACAAATGGTTTTGTTTATTACATACCTTACTAACGTGGCTATGAGTCGGGATGCTTGGACATATTGAAATGGCAGATTTTCTTTGAGAAAAAAAAAGACTTAATCATGAAGCACAATTGTTTCACTGCTATTTGTGTGCAAGGGCTAACTTTGAGTCGCTAAGCGCGAGTTGTCAAGGCTGAGACCACAATCGAGATTTTAACTTCTTATATGACAGCCCTTTTTTTTCTATTTTTTTTGTCTAATCGACAGTCTTTGTGGATGTGCTTGTGTTAATCAGCTGTCTAACTTGGCTAACAGACTGGCTGTAAGTGAGACCAAGTATGTAAACTGTAATGTTATGAGTGGGCGAACTGTCCGAAGCAAGATGGCCACCATGCGCAGAGGTCGGTCTCCATTGGCTTACAGCGTGCGTAGGCCTTCTGGCGATAATATATAGACCGTCCCAATCCACAAAAGCCGATCCACCTCACCCAGGGTACTCAAGTGCATAGAAGGGCAGTGCGCTGAGTGTAGACCCTGAATTGAGACACAGCCTCAGTGGCTCACCCGCTTTACCTTTTGCTCGTTTCCCTGTGTATGTATGGTCCCTGTCTTCCCCTGTTTCTTTGTTGGTTCATTGTGTGTTGTGTGTGTATGTCTGCCAGTTCACTGTGATCCTCCATGTGTGAATCCCTAGTCTCCTTGTGTTTTTTCCCCAGTGTCTTTTTGTTGGATTTTTCTCTTTTCATTGCTTTTCATTTAATCCTTCTTGATGAATCCTTTTTTTGTCTGCATGTTTGGGTCCTCTTCCTTTGTTTAACCCTGACCCATGACATGAAGTTCCAAAGAACTGAAAACGTCTTCTGGAAAAATTTCTGGTGTCTAACACTAAAGGGGCTCCAGGTTTAAACACACCTGGACTCTTCAGACTGTTGGAGCTCCACCATCATCTTAACTCAAAGTTTATCAGCATCAACATGAGAGAAAGAAAAGAGACACTGAGATCAGAATGAAATACAATCCCCCCAGTGTTTATTTGAAATCATATTTACAGTCAGCATCCATCATCCTGATCCCCAGAGGATGAACCACAGCTCTGCATCAACACTGAAGGCTTTAAGAAAAAACACTTTATACAGAGAAAGGAGGATGTCATTCATTCAGAGTCAGATGACCACTTTAACACTGAATCTTTAATGCAGACGAACAGAAACGAAGAAACTTCAGACCTGGAAAAAGTCCAAATTTACAGGGGAATCTGTCTGTTCTCCATGTAAACTCTGACTTTGATCTGTTTTGGTTTTACAAAGGTGAATATGGAGAAATCCGAATATTTTTTTTTTTGAGGACTTTTCATTTACAAACTAAAGGATTGATCGATACCTCTGATTGGATGAGAATGTTTGGCAGGTTTCAAAATAATCCCTTTACAGTGACAGTGATGATGCAGGTTTAACATCTAAAATCTGTAAGCTTAAAAGCTGACATGAGTGTTTTAGCATCCTCAGGTCCAAACTGAACATTAAAACCTCATTTCTACTATATAACGAGAACAGCTGATTAAAGTTACAGTGGGTGATGTTTTCTTTTGGTGGTTTAAAGTTATTGTCTCACACTCACACAATCTAACTCTACATTTCTGTGTTTTTACGATGCACAAGTTAAACTGTGACAATGCCCCGCCAAAATAAAAGCACATCATTTTACAATCAAGTGGTCTATCATTCGACCACCTTCAAAATAAGACAGTATAAAACACAGAGCGGTTGTCCAGACCATCAACAGATTGAAATACTGTACAATACAATCAAAAATATGAAGAATAAACCTGTGACATGAACATGTGAAGGATCCAGTTTCACTCAAACACACTGACTGAGACCATAATCTGCCTCAGGTCAGTCAGAGTTTAACTTTCAAAGGAGTGTTGGTCTTGGAGTTTCAAGGATTTTATCCCTGTCTGCGTTCTGGTTCTTTAGGGTCAATGTATTCTCAGATCAAGGTCAGGTTTTAGGGCCTTTCTGAGTTTCTGTTCCTGTTGAAGGATGTAACTGTGAAAATAGATAATAATAAAACAGAAACTGAAGTGTCTGTGACCTGAGACAGAGGTCAGGGCCTTCCTGTAAACCTGCAGACATGCAATTTATATAAGAGCTGATAGAGGCTGACAGGAGTTTGATTTATGACTCTAATCCTTAATCCTTAATCTGAGCTTCAGATCAGCGTCAGAGTGGCTGAGATTAGACTGCAGCCTCCACACCAACAGAGACACAAAGACACAAAACTCCTCGACCCTCTAGACTCCTGAACCCCCAGACTCCTGAACTCTGTCCTCACTGCAAAAATATAAAGCGTAAACATTCATGTGGACCTGTGACATGATCCTGCGTCTCAGACACAGACATTCGGGGGGGTTGTAAATTCACTCTGAGAGCCACCCTAACCCTAACCCACAGCCGAGTCACATGATCAGCTGTTTTTTTACACTTAGGTTTTTCTTCTTGAGCTGTTTTAGGTTCCTGTCTGTGACACTGAGGGCAAAACAAGGGCAGGCTGCTGCCGTTTAGTTTATTTGCTTATCATCACTTTACAAGACCTGACCTTTAACCTGATATCAGGCTCTGCCGTCCAATCAGGAGGACGCACACAGACATGCCCACCTGGCCTACTTCCCCTCTCCTGTAAAGTCCTTTTCCTCTCCCCCGAAAAAAGCTGGAAGTTTGGATGTTTTAAGGACGTCATCGTAGCTGTTAGTACTCACCACTTCACTGAAGACTCAGTATGAACTGGATCTGAGTCTCAGCTGGTATTAAAACTTGGAGCTGATCATCTAGAAAGACCTTCATGAAGCTCAGAGATGAAAACTGTGAACATGAAGAGTTTCAGTCAGAGGCTGAGTGGAGCTGAAAGAAGGGAAACTGGAACTATGACAGAATTCCTGGTCTCAGAATCTGCAGGTGTGATGTTGCTCTCAGTGTAAACACAAACACACACACACACCTGTCACCAGTCAGGATGTCCTGTATGTACACCCATTATTTACACCTGCAGGTCAGAGCTCACCTGTATGGGACAGGTCAGACTCAGGTGTGATGGTCCCCATAAGGCATGGCTTACCTGACACACACACACACACACACACACACACACACACACACACACACACACACACACACACACACACACACACACACACTTAAAAAAACATCCCCTCTGTTTTATAAAAAGAAAGAAACCATCCCTGTAAACCCCCCACCCACCATATCCACCCTGACCCTTGACCCCACTATGACCCCACCCTGACCCCCCACCCGGGCTGGGACACAGAGGAGCTTTAGTTTCATGCAGGCTAAGTAAAAAATGTCCACTGATTGGCTGAGATCACAGGCCTGATGACGACACAGCCATGAGGACCAGTCCAGAGAGGAGGAGGAGGAGGAGGCTGGTCTGTGTGGGTAGGGCTTTGTTCTGCACCATCATACCTGTTCCTGTCAGATGAGAGAGAGAGAGAGAGAGAGAGAGAGAGAGAGAGAGAGAGAGAGAGAGAGAGAGAGAGAGAGAAGAGAGAGAGAGAGGTCAGGTTCCAATGTCTGATCAGGAACATTAATAAAGAGTTGAACTGCTGAGCGGTGGAAAGAAGACATAGATCCACTGAAGTCCTCTGCAGTTATTACAGACCATCAGAGGTCCACAGGTTAGACTGTGATCTTTATAACCACCAGAGCCCAAACCTGTCCAGATATGAAACCAAACTGGACTATTACAGTCGTGTCCCAGTTGGAGATACAACAACAGGTTTACGACCGTCTTAATAAATCCAATGATAATAAATCATCATCGTATGTAAGATACGATGATGACTAAGCTCCAGTCTCTTCCTCCAGGACCTCCTCTGACAGATAACAGCTTCTCTGATAATTTCAGCTGAGCTGATAAAGTACTGTCAGTTATCCTGTTAGACCAGACATGAGGGTTCAGAGAGGGGACGGTTTCAGGGATCCGATCACGGTCTGTCAGACAGGTGTGTTTTTACCTGAGTCTCGGGACACAATGATCTCGTGTGCAGGTCCGTCTCCGCCTTCGCCCCACGACCGGATCTCCAGAACCACATACCCATTATCCTTTGGCAGAGGAAGAGTCACCGACGTCTTGGCTTTGTCCAGAACCTTCAGCGCCGTCTGACCCTCGTGTTTGTACAGAACCTGACAGACACACACGGACAGAACCTTTAAAACCCACAGATAGTTTCATTCTGACTGATATCCAAACTGCAGAGTCATCATGGATTATGTTTGATTTTTATGGGCTGTAATCTAATTTATAATCCTGATCTTTGGTTCTGTTTTATGAAGGACTGGGTCCCAGGTAATCAGACTGATACGTAATCAGTCCCTCTGAAGTTTGCCGACTTCTCTGTCTGTATTTGAGCGGCTTTAAATCACTGTTTAAACACAAGCTCAGGCATTAACTGCAAAGGAAGCATGAAACACTGCACAAAGTTATCATCCTTTATGAAACCGACTCTCTCACCCTGACAACCTAAGTTTGAGTTCCCAAGCGTAATTGTCTGCAACGACTAAAGGGTTTACATCATACATACGCCCTTGTTTAAGTCAGGAAGTGATCCTCAGAAGCACATTTATGTGTTTTTTGTGTGGATGTAATTTAATTTAAAAATTGTAATGTGTGTTTCATGTATTATAATAATAATAATAATTAATAAACAAATAAACAAACAAATAAATAAATAAAAATAATAATAATAAATAAAGAATAACAATAATAATAAAAATACATAATAATAATAAAAATGATGATGAAAATAAATAAATAAATAATAACAATGTTTTTTTTTAGTCTGGTCAGTGATGGAGATCGTCACACATCTGACAGTACGACACTCAGCACTCACTTTGTACCCCAGCACCCCTGACTCGTTGTGCATGGCCTTCACATGGTCCCACCTCACCGTTACCCATGATCCATCTGTCTTCCACGACACGTTACCCGGACGACGGTTAGGAGCTGGAACAAACACAAATAACAGGCTATGAGTTAAAAATAATAAACTAATAATTAATTCAAACAATTAAGGATGGGGGGGGGCACCTAAGAGATGACCTCTGTGTGACTCACAGAAGTTACAGTCCTGTGTGTGTGTGTGTGTGTGTGTGTGAGTGAGTGAGTGTGTGTTCCAGACGTACGGGGTTTCCTGGTGGTGACGGTGGTGCGTGGTGATGGTGGCCCTGTTCCGGCGCTGTTGTACGCCAGGACAGAGACGTGGTACCGAGTGCTGGGTCTGAGCCCGGGCACTCGAGCTGAGGTCTCGAGTCCTGCAGTCCTCACTCGGTCTGCTGCTGCCTCTCGCTCATGCTGCCGCCAGTACCTGATCTGAACACACACACACACACACACACACACACACACACATAAACGCACAGAATGAAGATGCGAGTATTTACAGTCTTTCTTAGCTGTTTGTCAGTATTTGGTCTTGGTTTCTGGTCCTGGTCCCCCTGAGAGTTTGAGCTTTAGGCACTGTGATATAAGGTGTGTCTACAATTCTGTGTCCTCTGACCTCGTATCCTCTGAGGATGCCGTTGGCGCTGAGCTGGTGGACTGCCTCCCAGGAGACCTGGATCTCAAAGGCAGTGAGGACAGTGGCATTGATGCTGGAGGGTCCGACCGTGGGTTCTGAGAGAAATGAGGGGTAAACAAAACCCAAACAGGATGTTGCTGAGCTGTCATTCATAAATTAAGTTAAAAAAAATATATATATATATAGATATATATAGATATATAGATATATATTTATAGATACACTACAGGCCAAAAGTTTGGAAGCAAGGCCATTACAGGCCGAACAGTTGGGAGTAACTTCAAGTTTTTGTTCACAATGCTTCTTCTAAAATCCAGCATGAGTTTTATGTATTTTGGGATGTATTTACACTGTGATCAGATGTTGTTTCATGGAAATGCACCGTTTTTCTCCATTTACCTTTAGATATACATTGATGTTAATAGACCATTGCTAAATATATGTCAGCAAAGGATAATAAGGGCTTGGTTTTAGGGTTGAAAACATTTGCAAGAGTCACAACTTCAGTGCAAAAGCAAAAAAAAAATCCCAGTTGGATTAATTGCTTCAACTTTTTGGCTTTTGAGAGTCTGCATACAAAAATCCTACTAAATCTCAACTGCATTCAAACTACCCCAAAAATGGCTAGAAAGAAGCAACTGAGTAAAGAAACAAAAGTACAGATTTGTACACTGAGGAAAGAAGGATACACAGAAAGAGAAATTGCAAAACGCCTAAAGGTGTTTAACAAAGGAGTCCACTACACTCTGAAGAGACTAGAGAAACCTGGAAGTTATGATGATAGAAAAAGACCTGGACGAAAGAGAGTTACTACAAAAGCAGAGGATAAACATAGCGTTGTCACCAGTAAGAGAGATCGGCAAAAGACAGCACCAAAAATAAGGGAGGAAATCAACATGACAAGGTCGAAACCCATATCTCTGACAACCGTGAAATGGCGTTTGAGAAAGGCTGGTCTGAAGGGTTGTGTATCTGCAAAAAAACACTGCCTCGCCTGCAGCCCTCAGAAGCATTTATCTCATAACACCTATCCTGATTGGCTGGTGAACGTGTCCGTCCGCCTTGGGTAGTCCCACCTGCCATAAATACCTCAAGCTGATGGCACCACCTCATTCAAGAAGAGCACCTCTTCTCACTCGCCCAAGCAAGACAGGTTGTCTGGTGAGACATCTCACTCATATTACTCAGAGAACCGGGGTTATGCAAATAACCTTAAGTTCTCTTTCATAATATTTCGCTCGATGTCTCACTATGGTATATGGTAGCTCCCGTATTGCCAGACAAGCTTATCTAGCGTCCACCAACCCAAAGGGATGGATAATCTGTTTCAATCAGGACATCAAGACCACTTGTGCCATGCACGGGTCAGGGACGTCCAGTATTGAACAGAAACTCCCCAGAATAAGGCCCAGGATGCAGCCAGGTGACCGCTCTTCCTGGAAAACCCTCTGTCCTATTGCACACTGCATGGACTGGACATAACACATGTGACTGCTGCTTCACTGGTGAGGCAGCAAGAGCCACAAGGTCAATAAGGGACATGAGCCCACCCCCTTTAGGCAAAAATGCCAGGGTGGGCTTCAACATCATCCTCAGGAGCCACTGAGGGGCCAAGCCCACAGCGCCAAGTGTTCTGGATGCGGATGAAAGACTGTCCCGCCCCCTTGTGATAACAGGTCCCTGCGCAGTGGGAGCTGCCATGGCTGAGTGCACAGCAACTGATATATCTCTGCCAGGCAATGCATAGCAGGCCAATGTGGAGCTATCAGAATAAGTGCTTGGCTGTTCTCACTCTGGACAGAGTGGGAGGAATTAAGGCCAGGGGAGGGAACGCGTAAAGAAGCTCGCGCAGCCAGACATGCACTAGCGCGTCTATGCCGAGTGGAGTAAAACAGCGCGCACTGCGTGTGTTCCCTCGATGCAAAAAGATCCACTGTGGCCCAACCATAACGGGCCTACAACCTCAGGGTGTAGAATCCACTCCCCATATATTGGCACGCCCCTGGCCAACAGATCCGCGCCCGTGTTCAGGACTCCTGGGATGTGCGTCGCTCTCAGTGAGAGAAGACGACCACAGCTCCACAGTGTAAGCTTGCACGCCAACATGTGCAACAAATTGCTCCTTTGTTTAACAGTGAGAAAATTTCCTCCTGTAAAACGCGAGCTGCCTCTCCCTGAGCCTGGGTGTGTGTTATACCAGCGAATCGTGGGGGAGCAGAGGCAAACTGCAGCCTGTATCCCCTCGAAATCGTCCTTAACACCCAGGATGGGGCTGCTAGCGCGGCCAATCTGTCCCATCTGAGGGAGAGAGAAGGCACGGCCTCCGACAGCGGGTGTCGCCACCGCGCTGTTTATAGTTTTGGTCTTTATTAGTTGCGCCCTTGACAATCGGCCTGGATGTGGCAGCGTTACATATTTTCTTTTCTTTATGAAAACGTGTGTGTGTGTGCGTGCTTGTGGACATGAGACAGCAGCAGCCATTGAATCCTCTGCAATCAGATGTCCGTCCCTCCCGCTGACATGGACCATGGCAGCCGGGAGATGGGGGTGTGGGGGGCCTCCAAGTGCACACTCGAAAGCCAAACAGGTGGAGCTGGAGAACAGGGAACTTCCAGCTGCGTCACCTGCTGAGAGAGTGGCATTCATGCTGCTCTCTTTTTCTTCCTAGCCTGGCCGTCGGAAGCTTGCATGGGTTCAGCCGGCAGAGCTGTGGCCGAGGTAGGAGGTTTTTTGGACCAGCCGGGCCGACCTAACAGAGAAGGTGAGTCGGCCCGGGATTTTGACAGTTCAGGAGTTTTAAACTGTGAAGTTTGGGAACCCGCCTGCATAAAGGATTTGTGCTGCGCAGGTGAAGAGGGAGCTGGGGACTTACGCTCAGCCACCGTGCTCGTTCCTGCAGAACCATGGTCCCTAGCGCTCTCCCTGTGGCCTGGACCGCGCAGCGTTGGACACGGAGACACAGGTCGGTGATGACCAGTATCTCCTCCCATGTAGCTGGGTCCTGAGATTGCATTAAATCCTCACATAACTCAGCTTGGTATGAGGTGAGCAGGGAGAGGACATTGAGCGCTCTGGCCGAGAGCGTGCCGCTTTGTATGCCTTTTCAGTCAGCGCTGAATTAAAACGGTCGGACTTCGATGGCAAGCTAGGGCTCCCGGAGGACACTGCTGACAGCCGTGGGTGAAGATGTGCTGCAACGAGTGGCTCCATGGAGGCATGCGGAGCAGGCCCAGGCTCTCCATCACTTCGCAGTCGAGGGATGAGGCACCGGGAATCGGGCTCCTGCCGCTGAAAGGGCGGTCTCTCCATGAGCGTGCCACCTCATCCAGCAGCTCTGGGAAGACAGGGAGAAGTTGTTTTGCCGAGCTCTTGGCCAAGGGCAATTTCTTCCCTTCGTAGCGGGTTCTGGTGGTCTCAGCTATGATAGCAGGCCAGGGGATGGCTAACTAGGCAGCAGCGCGTTTCACATGTCGAGCATATCCGAGTTTGGAAGAGGAGAAGCTGGTATGCTTCTTTCGTCTTCATCCTGAGAGCTGGCAAAGTATTCAAGACTCGTAGCGCCTGGCGACAGAAGCTAAATAAGATCTTCTCTCCTCTTCATCCTGAGAGGCGGCGAAGGCCACGGGCTGTGCAGCCCGGGCCGGAGTGATGAAGATGTCGTCTTCTTTCTCATCCTCTGATATGAGGAGTTCCGAGGTGCCATCTTCATCTTCCCCATAGTCCAGTTCTAGGACGTCTTCCTCTTGCGGGGGAGCCGCGGCTAGGTCAAGCTGGGAGCCCCGGCTGGTGCTAGCCTCCAGCATCTCCGCCTCAGCAACCGCTATCTCCTCTCCGCCTCTGACGGCGTTGCCGTCGGAAGGGAGATAGGGGTCATGTCCAGACAGGCTAGCCGGGCGGGCTAGCCGTCTGCAGAGACTCTTAATGGTGAACGCCGCACAGTGCTGACACGAGCCGGGGACGTCGATAGCTCGCCGGGCGTGTTTCAGCCCCAGGCAGCTCGAGCAGACCTGGTGTGGATCCCTGCTCGAAATCTTATTCCCACAGCTACAGCGTCTGGCACCGGAGTCTCCGTGCCAACTGGTGTGAGGGATTGTAGCCTCCATCCCTCGCAAACTGGTGTGCCAGCGGGGAATTGAGACAGTTAGCTGGTGTGCTAACAGCGAAAAAGCCCAGAATTAGCTGGTGTGCTAATACCCGATGCTTGAAAAGCCATGGTGTTCCGAGAAACAATGCTGACCAAGCCGTGGAGGAGCAAAGGGAGCACTAAATTCGATCTGGTGTGACTAACAAAGCAGAAAGTATCCAAGACTAGTAGCGCCCGGCGACAGAAGCTAAATAAGATCCATCTGTGGACAGTTTAGCTAGCTAGCCCTGGACGCGAGATATGCTCCGAGTGAGAAGAGGTGTTTGAATGAGGTGGTGCCGTCCGCATGAGGTATTTATGTTGGCTTTATTCACCAGCCAATCAGGATTGGCGTAATGAGATAAATGCTTCTGAGGGCTGCAGGCGAGGCGTGCATCCCATAGTGAGACATCAAGCGGAATATTATGAAAAAGAACAAGAAAAAGAGATATGAGTGGGCAAAAGCTCACAAAAATTGGACTTATGATGACTAGAAACAAGTTTGCACTGTTTGGTTCAAAACGCAGCGTCTATGTCTGCAGACAAACTGGTGAACGTCTGAAAGCACCATGTGTTACACCCAATATTAAGCAAGGAGGTGGTAGTTCCATGGTATCGGGATGTTTTGCAGGTGATGGAGTAGGAGATTTGTTTGAAGTAAAGGGTATCATGAAGAAGGAACAGTACCACTCCATCCTCCGGCACCATGCTGTTCCTTTTGGACTCAGACTTGTGGCTCATAAGTTTGTTTTGCAGCAAGACAATGACCCTAAGCACTCTGCCGAGCTCTGTCAGGGTTACCTAGACAAAAAAGAAGAGGAAGGTGTTCTTCAAAAGATGGTTTGGCCCCCTCAGTCTCCAGACCTTTATCAAATTGAGCTTGTGCGGGATGAATTGGATCGATCGGTCAGAAAACTTAAGAAAGCTTGGAATGCAATCCCTGGAACATACCTTAAAAAACTTGTGGAACGAATGCCTGGTATATATCATATATATGGTATGAAGCGAGAGGAGGTTACTTTAAGGAAAGCAAAGTCTGAGCAACAATAACTCAAATACATAATAATTATAGTCAAAATGTCTTCTGATAAGTTACTCTTTACACAATAGTCATGTTTATTGTGTTGCAAATTATATATATGATCTTTTTTTCTACAAGTCTGATCTTGCTTCCAAACACTTTTGGCCTGTAGTGTGTGTAGTAACACTGACGCTGCTACACAGACTCCCTGTTGATCTGTTATTTCTCCATATTTATGTTGTAAACTTTTGAATTCATCGATTATAAAAACTTTTGTCTAAGAAAAGTTCTTGTTGTGCTCACCTTCCTCTGCAGAGTGCACCACAGCGATCTGACTGAACGGACCCTCCCCTCGCCGATTATACGCTCTGATCTTCACTTCGAAGGGGCTGTACGGCGTCAGGCTGTCGTTGAAGTAAACGTGCCGAGAGGACTCCACGTGAGGAATACGAACAATCGTCCATGGGGAGTTCGAGTCCTTCCTCCTGAACCCCAGGATGTAGCCAAAGCCATCTCCATTCTGGTACTCTCGGGCCATCGGCTGCAGGGTCAGCAGACGAGAGAGTGAGACAGAGACACGGCAGGGCCATCTGACTCTGATAAAAAGGTCACAGGTCAAACATGGAGCCTCTAAAGATCAGCAACGACAACCTCAGAGAGTTCATGTTGACTCTGTGTTAGTCAGGACCACGCTTACGGTCCAGGTGATGATGAGCTCACTGCGGTCTCCTCCTCCTCCTCCAAGTCCACTGGGGGCCACAGTGGGGGCTGAAACACACATACACACAAACATGACACACATTATTAAAGCCACAAACATGTGGGTCAGCAGGAAGAACTGGTCAGGGAATATTTGACCCTTTGACCCCCGACCTGCTTGCTGTGTACGGATGGTGTGTGACGGCATGCTGGGCTCTCCACTGCCCAGGATGTTGCTGGCGATGACCTGAAACTCATAATCCATCCACGGTATCAGACCCATCACACGGGCCGACTCGGCGTTTCCTTCAATGTTCACCGGGTCTGATGGACCGAACAGAGAGAGAGAGAGAGAGAGACACAGAGAGAGAGAGAGAGAGAGAGAGTGGTGAGAGAGACACAGGAGGACACCTCAGCTGAGAGCTCCAAGCCAATCCTCACACAGACAGATCAATAATGCCTCAGAAACCTCCCCCTCCTCTTTTTTAACTTCAGGAGTCTTATACATCCTCTCCCGGGTCTTCAACATATTCACATCTAACTCACCTGTCCTCATCCTCTTCCACTCTGACGACAGCGATGATCGTCCCATCACCTCATACTTCCCGATGGGACTGTGATTATCGTATCCTCGACTCCACCTGAGCTCCACCGACGTCTCTGCCACGTTCTTCACCAGCAGACCTCCTGGTGGACCCGGGGGTCCTAATGCATCACACACAGGTGACTGAGTGACCCAGGAAATCTAAGGTCTGTTATTTCAGAGTTTAACTGCAGAGCTGCAGGTCCACACGTTCAGTTAGAATCTACTTTAGCAGTTCATGCTGCGTTAGCGCCTCACCTCTGACCACCAGCTTAGCTGATGCGGCGGCGCTGTCCACCACAGTCTGAGCCGAGCAGGTGTATGCCCCCGACTGACTCAGCTGAGCGCTCACAATCAGCAGGTCGCCGATATTCTCTTTCTGAGGGGAAACAAAGAAACAGTCCCAGTCACAACGTCCCAGTCGGAGATCTGAGAGACCATCACAGGAGCTGGTTTCTCAGATCACACCAGAGCTGAGACCAACGGGCACAGATCCTTCATGATGGGGATCCATGTTTAAAGTCAGTCTGGGGCTAATCAGAGACACTGCATGGCCTTTAATCAAAATCTGATATCACACTTACCCCCTCCACCCGGTGAAATGGCCCAGCTGAGTCCTCCAGGTCCAGTAGGACGCCGTTGAGAGCCCAGGTGAAGGTAAGGTCCATGGTTGGGTCGTGGGAGGCGTGGCACTGTAGTGTTACATTCTCGCCCTGGTTTATGTCGGCATTGGATGGAGCCAGAGTGATCTTTGTGGCGTCTGGACAGAATTAAAGATGGTTCAGTTTTAATTTGACTCCATATTTGACCCTGGTTCTCATAAAGGTCTGTTTTTAAAAAGCAGCTCAGAAAAAACATTAAACACTCAGCAGAGACCTGATCCTCAGGAGAAACCTCTCAGGAGGAAGATCCAGAGTTTCAGTCCACAGTCACAGGAGTCATCCTGACATTCATGTGATTATCATCCTGATTTCAATTCCTCAGATGATCGTAATTATGAAAATTAAAAAATTTAATTCACGTCCTTTTTTAAACAGCGAAGACACGAAGGAGAATATTCACAGGTTATCATAGGCAGGGCTCCACCTGGTGGCAGATTGAGGTCATTACAAGTTGAACCCTCCTCTACATGTCTGTCTATTTGCAGGAAAGAAGTGATTTTATTATTATGATTTTTATAAATATTCTGAGAATATTTATCTCCATTTTATTTCTTATGAGTGATTTTATGAATAAGACTAAAACCTTGTTAGCACCATCTGGTGAACACACAAGATTCTGTCTCTTTCTTACTCTTAACAAACAGTATTTTTTTAAATTTCAGCAGCTTTTTCTCTCTTTGTCCAGCAGAGAGACTCACTGTAACAATAATTATCTGGAGGCTTTGTTTTGTCTTCACTTTGTCTTATTTCAGCTGAAAACACTATCTCAGAATTTAAGCGCAAACAGAAATTTAAAACTGTAGATCTCCTATTCACCCGCACAGACAGGCCTTTTTGAGTCTGCCACCCAGTGGTTGATTTGTGTCATTACAGGTTAACTTCTCCAGGCTGGCTTTTGGATGTTGGATAACAAACTCTGAACAGTGTTTCACACATACCCTTAGATTGTATACACAAGTGTATCGGTCTAGTGTGTACCTCTGACAGACAGGTGTCCCGTGCTGTTGGCTTTGCCCAGGTAGTTCTCAGCGAAGCAGGTGTACTTGCCCTCATCCGCTCGGCTAATATTGTGGATCCACAGGACTCCATCTGGACTGACGGTGACTCTGAAGGCACCCCAGCACACACAGTTAGTTAATAACACTGACCTAAAGCGCACAGACTGGACATACAGGTGTGCAGCTGGATGGGCTTAACTACAGAGAATATAATAAAGGGCTCCCCCTGCTGACCACACAGGAAATCTGTTATTAAAGGGTTGAAGGTTTGTGGTAACGTCCCTAAAGCCTCAAATCAGGTCTAGGGATCAGGTGGTCTTACCTGCTGCTGTTGGTGAGCAGCTCCGTCCCTCGGCTCCAGAACAGGCTGGGCTTCGGAGCGGCTCGAGGACGACACTCGATCATCACCTGACCTCCCCGAGCTGCAGGGATCAGCTTCTTCACTGGGTTTAACCTGAAGTCTGGGGCCTGGACTGGGGAGAGGTGGTGGTGGTGGTGGGGTTCAGGAGGGAACAGCAGAGGGAATAACAGTTCAGTTCACTGTGACAAACAGTTTGATCATAATTATCATATTAATGTGGCGTGTTCCTGGTTTTCTCGATACCCTGGACTCTGAGTTCGGCAGTTGAGTAGACAGTGCCATGTTTGTTCTCGGCTACACACTGATACATCCCAGAATCCTCCAGGGCCAGGTTACTGATCTTAAGACGAGGCCCGTTCACCTCCACCCGGTCCTGAGGGGGAGGAGAGAGGGGAGCTAGTGAGTGTCTGTTAACTGTGTGTGTGTGTGTGTGTGTGTGTGTGTGTGTGTGTGTGTGTGTGTGTGTGTGTGTGTGTGTGTGTGTGTGTGTGTGTGTGTGTGTGTGTGTGTGTGTGTGTGTTACCTGTGTGCTGAGTGGCTGCCCGTTGCGTAGCCAGCGTACAGACGGTCTGGGTTTCCCAGAGGCCACACAGCTCCAGTGAAGCTCAGAGCTGATCTCCACCTCAGAGTCACTCATCACCTGCAGCCACTCAGGCTGAGCTGCAGTGAGGACACACAAGGGCAATTTAAAGGGCTATTGTTTAAAAACAACATATCTACAAATATTATGGGTTTAAATGGGGAAAAAAGTACAGACATAGGTGATGCATGTTTACTGTTATGGTAAGACAAAAATAAAGAGGAGAAAACATGTAAAAAATGGACAAAGATATACTTGAATGGACATAATTATATTTGGTTGGTCTCCTTGGGTATCTTCTGTGTGGGAAACTCTGAGATTTGACCTCAGTGTAAATTAACCCTAACTGCAGCGTACCCCACCTTGCACATTGATGCGTCCCTGGTACGTGTCACTTCCCTCAGAGTTGTAGGCCTCACACTCATACACACCCTCATCATCGAAAGACAGATCGGGCAGAATCAGGGTTGGACCTTCAGCACTAGAGCCTGCTTTAGACGGCATCAAACCGTCAACCTTCCTCCATCGCAGCTTTGGGACCGGACTGAGAAAAAGAAGGACGTGTTAGAGATGAAGATACATTTTGAAAGTGAAAAACAGACGTTTAGAATGATCTCAAAGGAAAACCTACTTTCCGTAAGCGAAGCACTCGAGCTGAGCTGTGTGACCTGCCAGCCCGTACGTCTCTGCTGGGAAGCGCACCTTGATGCTCGGGGCAGACTTCCTGGGATTGGCTGAAAAAAATAATATCAGCTGTTAATCCACGTCCTTTATGTCTGACATATTTAACCCTCTAATGACACCTGAACCAAACACAGTCCATAACTTGGCCTGGTTTAAAGAACCCCTCCATCCTGACTCTCCCTATAACTGCAGCAGGTGATCATTTTGTACCCTCGGGCAGCACGGTCAGCTGGTTGGCGCGGCTGAACGTGCTCTTGCTGCTGATCTCCAGGTTGACGGTGGTGAAGCAGAAGTAGCTCCCCGTGTCGTTGGGTTCAGCTCGGGCCAAGTACAGGTTCCCTGTCACCTGAGACACGAACGAGCGTCCATCCGCCTTCTTCAGGAAGTTTGGGAACTCATTCAGGAACCAGCGGTAAGACAGAGCTGAAGGAGGGAAAAAAAATATGTGATACTTCTGTGATAGACTAAAGTCCTGAGTTAATCCAGGTCACCCTGACAAAGCTCAGCCTTAAGGATGGAAACAGTCTGCATTACCCTCTGTGAAAGACCTGGTTCAGGATTTAAAAAGTAGACAAAAGAGTGAGTTCAGTTCCTGTTTAGTCTACCCGTCCTCCCTCCGAGAGCTCTGGAGTCTCTATACCTGACCTAGATCCCAAAACTCGGTCCTGGCCTTTGACTGGGATCTTGGATCTAACCCTCATTTCAGCCTCTAACTGAAACACCTCATTCCAGCTACCGTCTCTTTAAGAGACTGGAAAAGACCTCCAGAACCCAGCATTCTAGAATTTTTATCTACTGCTGCCATGCTATGAAGTTAGTTAATGTGTCGCTCTTCTTCGTCATGGCAGCTTTCTGCCTCAGTGTTTCGTTGACATTCATCCTTGTACCTTTATGTCAGTGTGTAAATTTAAAAGCATGATCCAGATCTTTACAGACCTGTGTAGACAGTATCACTAAGACCTGGATCAGGACCAACCTGATCCTTTTACATTTCTTCTTCCTGTAAACTCTGAATCAGCTGTCTTTTATCTATAGACAGCTTATAACAGGAGCCTTATTATTTAATCTGTGTGTGTGTGTGTGTGTGTGTGTGTGTGTGTGTGTGTGTGTGTGTGTGTGTGTGTGTGTGTGTGTGTGTGTGTGTGTGTGTGTGTGTGTGTGTGTGTACCTGGGTAATGAGGAGGGGGCTGACAGGCCAGGAAAGTTCCCACTCCTTCATATGCGGTCTGAGGACTCCTGCTGTCTGAGGAGAAGTCGTCCAGGTCTACAGGAACACAGGAGGGACAAACAGGAGCAAATATTACAGTACATGAACAGCCGATTTTCAGTCAGGAAGGTAAACAATCTGAATTCTGCAGACTCACAGCCAAACTTCAGCACGGCGGCCCGGCTGATGATGGTCCCACAGCGGTTGATGGCGAGGCACTGGTAGGAGCCGGTGTCTTTGATGGACTCAGGGCTGCTGATCACCAGGCTGCCTGCCACCAGAGTGTAACGCACATCCAACCCCAACGGGACCTCTGTGCCGTTTACCAGCCACCTGCAGGGCAAAAAGCAGGGCAGCTGAAAGCAGGAGCTCCTCTACTACCATGTGTGACACTAGGTGGTGCTATGAAAAACAGACTCATCATCTGAATGACTAATCATGGAAAGTTGGTTTAGGAGGACTCCGGGATTGAGGATTAGGGATTATCTAAACTAGTTTATCTGTCGGACCATGAACTTCAAATTCACACATTTAAAAAAAGAAAAGAGCATTGACAGAAAACTACCTTCTTTTTATTGTGTGAGTGTGTATGATTAAGTGTGTAAATCTGTATGAATGTGTTTCTCACCTGTAGGAGGCAGCAGGGTTGGCTCGGGCCTGGCAGCTCAGGGTCACCTTTCCCTCACTGAGGCCTTCTGGGTAAATTAAACTGCTGGGCTGTTTCTCAAACACTGGCCCGCTGTCGTGACCAGAGACACACACATCCCCTCCTAGACACACACACACACAGAAAAAACCTTCAAATCCTCTCTCACAGTCATGAAGCTGCACCATGATACAGTCTGTTTCCTGTGTTCAGGAGGATGCTGATGACCAGTGACGGCAGATTTCAGCCTCTTCCTCAGACCTAAATGACATCATGTCTCCATGGATCATTTATCCCAGCAGAGCTTTCTTACTGCTCCAGGAGAGAGGAGCGCCCCCCCACCCCCCCTCTGAGAGACCTGAACCCCTTCCACGTGCTGTCTGAAACAACAATCATCAACCTTTTACAAGAGCCCACATGAACCACACCCATGTGACGCACTAACGCCTCAGGTCAGAGCCCTGATACAACGATACTCTCTGCACGAAAACAGTCTTATTCTACAAACTGTAACTACACTGGATGAAATATAACAGAAAACACACTGACCTTGGAAACTTTAAAGAACCATCCAACTAAACCTGTCAGCCACAGAAATCAGTTTACCTGCTGTTGATCTGAACTGTGGAGTCCCTCAGGGACCCATCCTACTACCTGCATTTTTTACCTTGTTGTGAAAAGTGCTGAGTCAGTAAAGCTCTTATAATCAGAGATTTCCAAATAAACTCAAGAAACGCTCACCACCAGACACTGATTCTGCACACACACCTGTACATTTGCTGGGCGGTGTTAGAGTGTGTGTGTATTGGGGATCTTACCTGTGGTCTCCTTCAGGAACACTGAGCTTAGCAGCAGCAGAAACACAAAGCTCTCCATCATCAGATAAAATCTGATCAGCTGATCTCACAGGAGGAACAGTAGTCCGTCTGAGTCTGCAGGGACAACATCAAACCAGATTAGAGCAGAAAAACTTCATCGGCCCCAAAGGGACGTGATGGATTTACTGTTCAAGGAAACTTCGGGTCAGAATTAAATTTCACCAATTTCAACTTCTGTCAGAAATGTTTACCCTTAAACACAATTTATAGAAATCTTACTCTAAACATCTTAAAACTGACAATATCATAGTTTAACATTTTGGATCAGCTATTTCTACATTTCCTTGTTTTATTTTATGGTTTTAGAATTCCTCGTTAAAGGGCAACTGGACCAAGAATTGGATAACCATGACCTGGATGCAATTTTCATTTAGTTGCAAATCGCTTCTGTAACTGACTTACTTAGAGTGACTGTAAAAGACAATAAAAACATTTTGAAGTGTGCACTGGGACAGCTCAACTTATTTTCAGACCTTCTGTCTTTGTCTGACCTTTGAACTCTCTCTTCCTCATATCTCACAGTGCCTGTGGTCCATATGAAGACATGTTCAAACAAAGGCTTCAATCTTTAATTTTAAAGGAGCTGAATATTTTAAAATGCTTAACCTGCTGGCCCTGCAGACACTGAGGGTGTTTCAGGAGTTCTGACAGGCTGCAGACTGAAGAACATGAAATATTAAAACTACTGTGCTGGACGTTTGAGATTCAGCGAACTGTCAGAAAAACAGAGAGAGAAACAGGAGTGATGAATTCGGAAGGTTTTTAAGGACATGAGCTCGGCCAAAGGTCAGATTTAAATCAGTCAAACCTCCTGGACAGTCTCTGTCCAGCTCCTGTCAACATGTCCATTCGTTCTGCCAACTCTCCTTCCTGATACAAACTCAATCTCTCTGAACATCTCTGAGGACGCTTTCTGTTGGTCTGAGGCTGATGGCCATTATTTCGAGTTTAGCAGGAGCAAAGACAGACTGAGACACACATCAGTCCTTGAAGCAGAGGGCATAAACCCCGACTGCAGCCAGTTAGAAGTCTGCTGAAAACACCTAAGAGAGGCAGCAGCAGCAGACAGGGCTGCAGCTGATCACAACTATAGATGCAAATACAGAAGTATAAATCACAGACAATCTGTAGAGTAAAAATGAAGCAAAAGAGAGCTCAGAGTGGGCATTTGCTACATCATGACTACACACACGCACGCATGCATACACACACACACACACACACACACACACACACACACACACACACACACACAGAGATCTGGTATCCCATCAAGTGTAAAATGAGCTCTACATCAGTTTTGTGTTGAGCTAAATCTGAGCTCTGACCTGGAGACGCTCTACAGTGTGTGTGTGTGTGTGTGTGTGTGCGCGTGCGTGTGTGTGTGTGCGTGCGTGCGTGTGTGTGTGTGTGTGTGTGTGTGTGTATGCCCCCCCTCCTCCAGGCTGCTCTGCTGTATTATTGATGCGTGCTAACTCAGTAGAGAGCAGTGTTTCAGAGCAGAGCTGGCTGACCCCCGTCTGACCTGAAGGTGAACAGAGTCACCTCAGACAGCAGGAAGGTGTTGGTGATGATGATCAGGGCAATCACAGGGAAACCGCAGATACAACACCATATGATAGATACAACACTATTCAAACAATATGATACATTGTGACACAGAAACAAATAACTCGTTCATCACAACCTCATCAGAGGGGACCTTTAAAAATCATACAGTACAAAAGAATATGGCGATATGGGAGCACAACACAACACAACATTACACACTGCAATACTGTGTAATATAGAAGAGCAATAATGCACGCACCATGGATAACAAAATGTCTGACAAAGAGTAAGCCATATGATTTATGTCAAAGTATGATTTGATAAAAAATGATATGATAATGTATATGGTTTAATATGATACCTAATGACATGACATGATATGAAACCATACAAAACATTATGATGTATGACATTAAGAAGAAGAAGAAGAAGAACTTTATTGATCCCCAAAGGGAAATTCAATTGTCTGTTGTTTCATGTGATATATCTATAAAAGTAATCTATTATTTACATAAGAGTTATAAAGCCTGATGGCTGTTGGTACAAAAGATCTTTTGAATCTTTCTGTCCTGCAGCAAAGAGAGAGGAGCCGTCCACCACCATTTGCCCTTTGGTCCATCAAGGTGTTGTGAAGTGGGTGACCCATGTTCTTTAGAATAGTCTCCACCTTCCTCAGTGTAGATCTCTCCACCACATCCTCCACTGAGTCCAGCTTGAGTCCTACCACAGAGCCAGCTTTTTTCACCAGTTTATGAGAATGTTTTGCATCTTTGTGTTTGATGCTTCCTCCCCAGCAGACTGCAGCGTAGAACAGAACACTTGCCACCACAGACTGATAAAACATCTGCAGCGTCTTACTACTTATCCACTCCAATGTGTTCTTTCTATGCAAACTGCAGGGAGTCTTTGACCTCAGACCTCAGAAGGCGTAGAATCAGCCGCTCCAGGGTTTTCATGATGTGTGAAGTGAGGGCCACTGGTCTGTAGTTGTTATTGAGTTCAGCAGGACATTTTGTTTTTGGTACTGGCACAATGCAGGATGTTTTCCACAGAGCAGGTACCCGCCCCAGCTGTAGACTCAGGTTGAAGATCCTGTGGAGAGGTTGACACAGTTCTGCAGCACAGTCTCTAAGCAGCCTTGGACACACACCATCTGGATCAGCTGCCTTCCCAGGACAAAGTCTTCTAAGTTCCATCCTCACCCCTGTTTCGGTGACAGACAAGGACTGGTGTTCTAGGAGGGAGGCAGTTGAAGTGGTTGAGACATTTGAACAAGATGGAGGAGGAAGGAGAGAAGTTGTAGTGGAGATTTGTTGCGTAGAGGAAGGTGGAGTAGCAGTGGGAGTGGGTGTGACAGCAGTGTCAAACCTTTTGAAGAACAGGTTAAGTTCATCAGCTCTTTTCACATCACCCACCACTGGCTGTCTTTTCTTTTTATTGCTGTGTCCAGAGATGGTACTGATTCCTCTCCACACTTCACGGATGTTGCTGTGTTGTAGATACTTCTCTATCTTCTTTTTGTACATCTTCAGTCTCCTCTTCAACTCTTGTTGAACTTGTTTAAGTTGTTCTTTGTCACCATCTTTAAAAGCTTTCTTTTTCTGGTTAAGGATTGCTTTTATGTCTCTTGGATAGGATATAATATATGATAAATGTCAAAGTATGATATGATATCATATAATAAAATAGGGTAAAAAAAACACCCAGTATATGATATGACATGATATGATTATGTTCATGGTCTGATATTATGACATGATGTGAAACAAGACAAAAACAATATGATTTATGACATGATGTGAAACAATACAAAGCAATATGATATATGACAAGATAATATAATATATGATAAATGTTAAAGTATAATATGATAAAATAGGGTAAAAAAAAACCACTCAGGATATGATATGACATGATATGATAATGTTCCAGGTCTGATATGATATATAATGACATAATGTAAAATAATACAAAACAATACGAAAAAGGACAATAAAGGATATAATATATGATAAATGTCAAAGTATGGTATGATTTTATATAATAAAACAGGGTACAAAACACTCTTAAACACTCTTTAAGACGAAAATATCTCATCTCTCCTTTTTGGATGATCTTGAGCAGCATCTTTACACCCGTCTTAAAACATCACATTCAGATTTAAAAAACTTTATTTGTCCCCAAGCGACCAATCAGCAGGTTTGAACAACCCGTTCTTTACGACTGTGTCATCAAACTGCTGCTGAAGGACCCAGACCACCACCAACACCAAAACACACCACAGAGTCTGAGCAGAGATTAGTTTCATTCTCTCACATCAGAACAGAGTGACTTCATCTGACCACACGATCACTGTGTGTGTGTTTGTGTTAGTGTGTGTGTGCGTGTGTGTGTCATCACAGAACAATAGGGCTTCTATTACTCCCTGTTTAACAGAGGGATTTTTCTCTGAAGTGATAGCAACACTCAGAAAAATACACATCTACAGAGCGTTTGTGTGTCTGATTGAGAGTGTTTAGATCCAGCAAAGGACAGAAACACAAACAGATCTGCCTGTTAAAATTAAGGTCAAACTGATGAAACTCTTACAGGGTTTCTGTTCGGGTACTCAAGAGTTCAAATCTTATGATTTTTATCAATCAAAAAATTTCTAAATACTTCACTCTTAATTTTTAATTTTCTAACGGTCCACAATTTGAAGCAGCTCTCAGAGGAAAAGGAGGACAGGACTACAGCAGACACACTAAACTGGTGTGTAGGGGAAAGTGGGCGGAACAACTGTTTAATTCAGCCCCACCCTGGAATGCACAACGCAACGAGGGGTTTCTCACTGTATGGCAGCATTTACATCATGGGCTATGTGACCTCTGACCCCCACTATTAATGTTAACTTCCTGTCCTGACTGCAGACATCAAACCATTTCTGCACACAGGAGGACCACAGAGAGGCAGACTGAGGATCTGCAGGGACATCCCAGTTCTGGGCCTGAAGTCTTTCAGTTCCTGTTTATAATGATGGATTTCAAAACATCTGATCGGTGGACTTTTTTCAGTTTGTTGACCCCAAAGTCTGAGCTTTCTTATAAACAGCAGAACTTGTTTTTATCATCTATCACTGAAACTCTGTGTAACAGCAACTCGCGAAAAACATCAGAAGAAGAAGAAGCCATGCCAAACTCTGACAGACACACTTTTAATCTTTTTAGACCAGAAGAAATGAAATGGCTCCTCTCTCTTCGCTGCAGGAACGAAAGATTCAGAAGATCTTTTGTACCAACAGCCATCACGCTTTATAACTCTTATGTAAATAATAGATAGCTTTTAGGGACATGTTATGTGAGACAACAGACAATTGAATTTCTCTTCGGAGATCAATAAAGTTCTTCTTATTCTTATTCTTATTCTTAAGAAGACTTTGTCATTGAAGACTGCTGAGATCCATCAGGGTCCTCAAGTCAGCATGAATCTACACAAAGAGTAAGTCATTAGAGATTTTCGAGTTATATTTCCTGTCTGTGTGACTCAATCTTCTCCACAGTTTAGCAGGGAAACAGAATTTAAACCACAACATTCACGCAGGGTCTACTCCACACTATCAACACACTGAGAGGGGCTCACTATGATCCTGATTCTCTCTGTGTCACTTAAAAGACACAGACAAAACTGCACTCCACTGGCCATCTGGACTCTCCAGAGAGACAGACCCAGACACCATGACTTCAGAGTCAGACGCCAGCAAAGACAGAACCCCTGTGGAGGAGGGGCCGGTGATGATCTGACAGTCAAAGTGAGGACGAGCTGATCAGAACAGACTGAGTGGGACAAAGACATCAGTTCCAGGCAGTTAAAACTACAATAAAAAAAGTCATCAGTCTTCTCTTTAGTGGTCTGATTTTCTTCTGTATGTCACAACAAAAGAATCAAAATGAACTTTAGTGTCATTACCATCAAAAACTCCCCCAAAGGAGGTTTAATCAATTCTTGTAGATTTTCTGCTCTGCTGAGATGGGAGGATTGGCTTTGGGCTAGACCTAGATAGATACAGCCTGTGCTTGGTTGAAAGACCAAAACAAAGATGGCAGTCTCTATTTAGCATAACCAGATAATAACAGAAATGAGACTATTGTCAGGATGTGTTCTGTTGATTTAGTTTTTCCCTGGTTTTGTTATCCAAGTGTATTTTCTGTGTATTTTCCCAAGTGTTCATGTTCCCCTGTAGTTCGGTCTTGTGAGTTTTCAGTTTGTCTTTGACCCTGTTTTCTCTCACCTTCTCTGCGTTTTATTCTTTCGATCACTTTTCAGTGTTTATTTCCTGTTTTATTTTGTAGTGGTTGATTCCTTGTGTTTCCTGTTTTATTTTGTAGTAGTTGATTCCTTGTGTTTCTAGTCCGGTTTTACTTCCCTAGTTTTCCCGCCTTGTTGACCACCCATGACTTTCACCTGTGTCTCATCTGCCTCACCTGTTGCTCGTTTCCCAGTGTGTGCGTGCATGGGTGTGTGTCTGCCAGTTCACTGTGATCCTCGATGTGTGTAGCTCTTGTCTCCTTGTGTTTTTTGCCGCAGTGCCTTTTGTTGGATTTTTTAGTTTGACATTTTGAGGAAAGTTTCTGTTGTTTTTTTCATTGAGCTCTTTTAATAAATCATTTTGAGTCAGCATTAACATTCCTGAAACACAGACATGATAGGAGAGGAGGTGTTGAGGTGGAGCATCAGAGCGAGCAGGGCAAGACTGTGTTTGAGCAGGACTTAGTGAAGTCTGAGTCTGATTTAAAGGTGCTGAAGTCCTCAGACTCTCAGGTCACTTTAAAGGTCCTTACACACCGGCGAATTTGCGGAGCGAAGCAAAAAAGCGAGACGAAAATTGCGAATATTCACCGTCCGAAAAATCGCTTTCGCCTATACACACCGGCCGCGAAGCGAATATGCGTATATTTTTTGCAAAGCGGAGGAGAGGAGATGCGGGGTGGTCCTGTACCGCAATGACCAGCCTCTCTCCCATCGTTGCTCTTGGTGCTAGTGGTGGTGTGTGTCGTGTGAATGGGTGCTGATTGACATGTCTAGCAATATGAGCAAGGGAGAAAGAGGAGGAAAAGCTGTGAGAGACACCGCAGCAGCCAGGAGAGGCGAGGGCTGAGCAGTGATCCTTCAAGTTGTCTGGTCATTCTGTTGGCCCTATAGCTGCAGATCATCGGCATGTCAAACAGCTAAGAGGGAGAATCAGGCATGATGAGGCGGTCACCCTGTGAAGTGTGCATGACACCAATCCCCTAAGGAAGACAAGAGAGTGTCATCTTGTGAGGAAACTACTTCATTAGTAATTAGAAAGAGTTTTGGGTGCACCTCAGCTGTCTTTCTCTGCGTTTTCATAATCTCAAACTTCTCCCTCTCCTCCAGCCGTATGGGTCTGTGACGTCATCAAAAACATGACTTTTGATTGGCCAGAAGTCTAGCAGGTCCAGATATTCGCCTGCGAATATCCGAAAAATTCGACACAAGAGCGAAAAAATAAAAGCGGCTTTTCGCCCCGCATAAAAATCGCTTCCGGTGTGGAAGCTTGCATTGACTTTATGCTGTTTTAAAAAAAGGCGAATTATTCGCCTGGCGAATTCGCGCTTGGTGTGTAAGGACCTTTAGATGGAAATGGTCTCCATAGAAAACAGAAAAGTGCTGTTTCGTTTTCAGTTTTTATGCTGTGTTTACGCAAAAATGCAATGTGGTTGAAAACGCTGTAATGTGCATGCCAGGTCGCTAGGTGGCGCGTGTCGGTGTGACCGCGCTCCCATAGAGACCAACAACGCATACGTAGAACAATTTCCGTTCTACATTAATTATTTGATGCAAATAATTCAGACGCCTCCTCTGCTGAGCAGTATGATTCGTGACGATTCTGTACAAGTCAAAATTGAGCTCCTGCCCGTTTAATAATAAGGACAGCGCAACTGGAATGTCTAGCATGGTTGTTGTTGTTATTTTCAAGGAAGCTGCACATGGCTATGATGTCATAAACCGACGTGAGCCATGGCCTCACAGGTTTGACCGTTTTCAGCGTTTTTGTACTTTAGACGAAAGCGGGACTAGCAGAGCATTTACAACATTTCCACTCTGAATCACTTTGTTACGTTTTCATCGCCGGAAAAAACAGTTGCCGTCTTAACGGACCCCCCTAAACGAAACGAAATTTTTCTGTTTTCTATGAAGACCGTTTCTGTCTAAAAGTGGCCTCAGACTCAGCTGTACATCAGTTTTCAGTCTGATCTCTGCAGTCACAACAAAGACTCCTCTCTCCTCCAGCTTCATATCAGCACATCTCTCTGACAGTCTGTAGCGGCACAGGGGAAGAGCGGGTCACTTATGGGTGCTGTGGCCTATATCAGGAGTAGCTATCAGAGTGTAACAGGGAGATTTGACCATTGACCTCTACCCTGTCTGTTAAGAGATCTACAGACAGAGCTGTGCTCTGGCACAGAGAAAGGCTTCACTGTTTCTCTCAGAGACTTTATGAAGCTCAGACTCAGTCTGATCTATCTGACTCCACCATACATCCGTCCATCCATAGCTGCAGCCATGAGGAGGCAGACAGCGGAGAATAAAGGGGGGGTCTCTCTTTAAGCTTTAAAAAAAACCTCCTTCAGAATCTCAAGACTTTAATTTTATCATGATTCAGGACGATGTCTCTCACTGTTTGGCCCTGAAGTCGTTTTCTGGTTAGAGCTCAGGATCAATACAGCCTCTCTCCTGATACTCAGTCTGTCCCTCTGCTGTTTAGACACTCACCGCTCTCCTCCTCCTGCTCCTCTATCTGCTCTCCTCTCTCCTCCTGCTCCTCTTTCTGCTCTCTTCTCTCCTCCTGGTCCGCTCTCTGGTCTCCCCTCTCCTCCTGCTCCTCTCTCTCCTTCTCCTTCAGCAGTCCTTCATTAATCTTAGTTGAGCAGTAACTTACTCTTTCTCCCAAACTTTGTTCCTCATTGGTCTGAGCTGCTGCTGATGAATGTAAAGTTGTTTGAGGGGCAGGGCCACGCCCACGCTCTGCTGTTAGTGAGGAGAGGGAGAGTGCAATTCATTCAGCGTAGCCGTAGGCTGTTAGTGTAAGGCGTAACAGCAACACAGCAGGCGATATAATATAGTTCCATCCTGATCGGCAAATCTTTATAAACGTAGGGAGACAAAGTCGAAATAGAAATTAAAACGATTAATCGCCCAGCTCTATGACGGACCATGGCGACAAACAGGCCACTGTAGAAAGGTAAAGCTGTGAGGATGGTATTTAACAAAATCATGTGATCAGCAGATAACTACAAGTACTCAGGAGTTGATTATCCATAAAGGACATAAAAAACTCATGCAGGTTCAGGTGTCAACAAACCAATAATGTTTTAAACGCTAACAGAAATATAGCTAATTTAAAATTCTGTACAGTGTGGAAAACAGAGTGTAGAACAAAGGATGATCCTCCGTCTTAAATGAGCACCATCAGACTAACATGAATGAGGACACCTTTATAATTTTGATAAAGCATAAAACTCAGAAAACATGCAGAAAGTGACAGAGATGGTTTAGATCATTCAAAGACAGCACATTCACCAACAAAGAGCTTCAAAGAGCGTGCCCACTGAATTAGGGGTATTTTAAAGAGTCACAAACAGACTGTGTCCATTAAAAACAAATCAGTGTTATTATTATTTATGGTAGAATCTGATGTTCTGTGTCAAAATAAGAGTCACAGGTAAATTTGGGAAAAAAAAAAAACACTCCAACATGCATAGTCAGAATGAACCCAAACATCTGTTCATACTGGTTCAGACTGAAAAAGCCTACAAAGACCTCCTTTAGACACAGTGATACCTGCATGCAGCTAAAACAGAAGAAGGACCCGCTTTGACCACCAGGGCTTCGTAGGTTACATCACATTACTTTACATACAAACAGCTCCTGGCAGCAGCAGCATAAACCAAACCCCGTACATTTTCTGCTTGATTCTCAGCTCACAGATAAACAGGCAGAGAGGTGGAAATAGATCTGTACTAACGGCTTATTCTTCACACAGACGTGATGACAGGCTGAATTAGAGGCACCCAGTCATGTCAGGAGGCGAACAATGTGCGCTCCAAACGGCCAGATTCAATATGAAGTTTGGAATCGTGATTACAGAACACGGCAGAGAAACGCTCGTTTTGTACAGCTGGCTCTATTAGTGATGCTCTGCTTCTATTGCGTCAAAATAACCAATAGCCGGGACACCCCGCTCATACAGACGACCAGCTCCCACAAACAACCTTAAAGCCCACACACGTGTGGACATTTTCTACCTTTCAGAGCAACAGAGGTAGAATAAAATAATTCTGCAAATCTAATGGGGTTTGTTTTGAGGTGTGGGTCTGTTTACCTGGATGATGAGGGCCGGCCGCAGCGATGCGGAGCCGCGGATGATGCGCAGGAGGCGGGGTGATTCCGCTCGGTACTTCGGTGAGCGATGCAGAACCGGTTCCTCAGATTTGACGCTCTTCCTGTCCTTCTCGGTCCTCTTCCCCCTCTCCCTCCTCCTTCTCTTCACTATGAAATGTTCCGTTACTCTGAGTCAAGGACAATCATCTGCTCTCGCTCTCTTCCTCTCTCCTCCTCTTCTCTGTGGGTCTACTTTCTTCCTCTCCTCCCTCTCCTCCTCTCCGTGGCTCTACTTTCTTTCTCTCCTCCTCCTGATTTCATTCGAACACCGTCTGCTCTGCTCCATCACCATCAAGCCCGCCAAAACACGGCTGAGCCACTTCCGCTTATTCTCCTGCACAATTAAAGCTCTCTTTGATGTAGCGGCCTGCTAGCTTGGTAACTACAGTTTGGCGTTATTTAACAATGAAGACTTTGTTTTAAAATTATTTATTTGACTGATTGCAGACTAAAAAGACAGGTTAAATCAATAGTTATCCTACTACTATTTATTAGGCTGCTCTTTGGCCTTTGAATTGCTTGTATTCATATTGTAATCATTATTATTAACAGGAGCTAATGAAAAAAATAAAGAAAACTAAATGGCGGATAAAATAGACAGCTTTAGAACCTCAAGATGGACCATATTAATGCTTTACTGTCTTTAAAAAGCTGACTGAATTTTTTTTTTTTTTTTTTGGGAGGTTTGGAATTATCCTATTGGCATTGGAGGTAAAACACAGGACAGTCATGTGTGTTTGACATAGAAATGATATCCAGATTAGCGTAAATATTTTACCCCTCTAATTTTGCTATCCCACTTAGATTAAGTGAACTGTAGTAAACACCTGATTTATTATCCTGCCCATCATTGCAAGGTTTAACTGTATTTTTCTTTATTTGGCACTTTCATATGAAAGATGGACTCACAACCATCCACCTTATACGATAAAATCTGTACTGCACAAGCTCAATAGGCAGGGGGGCTGGGCACAGAGTACCAAGACAGAATCAAGCAAAAAGTAAAACCCACCTTTACTTTGAAGGCAGAAAATTGTAGCTTCCTGTGTTTGTACCCGCCTCCCTACAGTTACCTTGACGCAGCATCTGTCGCGAGGGCGGCGATCTGCACCTCCCTTTGTTGTTCTGCAGGCAGGAGGAGGAGACGGCAGGTGCACACACACACACACACACACACACGCACACACACACTACGGCTCCCAGGGGACCCGCGTGACAGAACACACACACAAAAGGCCAAATAACGTTCATTCAAAAAGTAATTCTGAATTTTGTTTGTCGGTGATTTTATACTTGTATCTTTAGAAAAAAAATCTAAATAATGTGGAAGCTGCAAAACTAAGAAAATTCTGCTTTTTTTGTAAGTAAATGAGATAGTATTGATTTCCACTGGTGATAATTCACGCCTAATAACAGCTCCAGTTAGTAACCGGACTGAAATATACAAACGACAGACAGACACTCAACACAATCAAGCTAAAAATAGTGATGGAAATTTTATTCATATCCATATAAAATTTTTCACTTCTGAAGGCCTTTGTTAAATAAAACACATAATGCGCCTACAGAGACCATGAATCAGTGACTGACATAGTTGCAGCCTGACAGAGGTATCAGCTGACAGTGAGAGTAACGAGCTATGACCCTCAGTTAAAATTTCAGATTATATCCCAGGATTATTAATGCAGAACCGATAATATTCAAAGAGGCTCCAATTACTTCTACAGGGTGATCCTCTGACAGCCTGCAGACAGCCTGCTGCAGCTTTAAGGTAATTACGCAGACTGATATGTGCCTAATTAATCAGTGATCATTGTCATCCTGGTTTGATTTGTTAAATAATGAGCAGCCAGTTGACAACAGCCTCCAGGGAGGAGCTACATTACTACCAGGAAAAGAAGATTATTCAATAAATAACTAGAGACAAACAAAACATGATCTCTGTCTGCTGTTTCAAACACTCTCCCTGAGGAAACAACAGCAGAGTGAGTCTGAATCAGAGAGATTCGAATAAATATTGATCTAAAAAAACATGTCAGTTCAAAGGATCATCTAATCCAGGATGGGATTTACAAATCTCGACATTTCACCTAGAGCAAAAATCAAGTGTAGATATGCCTTCTCAGCTGATTCCCTCAGTAAACATTCTGTTTATAAAGAAGTTCTGGTCCCAGTTCTGGTCCTAGACATACCAGAAGACAGGGGGATTTAGAGCAGGACACCTTTGAGAAAATGCCACTGAAATATCATGGTCAGCACTCCAAAGCAGACAGCCAATCAGAACCCAGTCCAGCATCTTAAACTTGCGCTGCATTCCAGTTGTACTCAGAAGTCAGGATTTCCGAGCTTCGAGTTGGAGATTCATCTGGAACGCCCCCCTTAAGTGGGATTTCCGACTCCGAAAGTCAGATAATCCTTGTGAACCCCGACTTGACGACAATGTCTTAATTCAAGATGGCAGCGCAGTGCATCAATAGTAAAGAGTTACAGTGAAAGCTCTCGTAATGTATTATTTTTTAGCACTTCTGTTTTGTTTTTGTGAAATTAAATAAATGGTACATGTTGTTCTGCCTAACGTCTAACTGTGAACACGGTGCTTTGGTGTTTGTAAAGTAAAATACTGTGTTGTGTGTGGTTTACATCTGGTATTGCGAACAACAACTAACAACCGCTGACAACGGCTAACAACAGCTGACAACCACTAACAACAACTTACAATGGCCAACGACAGCTGACAATTGTAAACAACAGCTAACAACAGCTAACTGTATGCGTTCATCTTGGTTTACCTACTTGTTAACTGGAACGCTGTCAACTCGGGTGTAGCATCATTCCCAGCTCCGACATCTGACTACCGAGGTAACTGGAACGCAGCTTCAGTCCTGAGCAGAACCAATAACTCTGGAACGCAGTCCTCCTGGATCTGGTTTTCTAGAAACAAGTATTCTAGAACACTATAATACAGAACTACAGAACTCAGCATTTCACACCAAAGTACTCCGGAGCTAAGAACTTTATAACCCAGTATTTTAGAACAACCGTTTCCAGAAACCAGTCCAGTTTCCAGAGCCCAGCACTCCAGAACTCATGATTCTGGAACACAGTGTGTTTCTTATTTCTTATTATTTCTCAGTATTTCTCAGTGTTTCTCAGTATTTCTCTGTGTTTCTCAGTGTTTTGCAGATTTTCAGCATTTCTCAGTATTTCTCAGTTTCTTAATTCATGTCCCTCTGTATGTCACCTGATGCCTCCTGTCCTAGACTGAGTTTGATGAGAAACATCATGACATCAGATATACTGAGAGTTTTTTTTTTTAGGCCGTTTTAAGTTAATGTCATTGGCCTTATTCCAGGAACTTTAACCTTGTCTTCCATTTCGTCGGGTCGATGGAATGTTTTCCACTGAGACAATCTCAGATCTACTGCCCATCTCCAGAACTACACCACATACAGGTTCACTCATCCCCCCCGCTTGTGATGTTGACATGTAGTTACTTTAAGACTGGTTTCTGCTCAAGTCTTTTTTTTTCTGTACGGCTCCGTTTTTAAAAGTTATAAGGGGGTTCATGATTGACACTTGATACAGCCTATGGGCGTACAAGGATTGCATAGATCACCCAGGGAATACACTGTTTGAGCCAAGCGTCATCACAGCGGTTCTCCCCCCCGAATGCGTACAATGCTACTGCGCAATGTTAGTTTCAGGAGATGGAGAGAAAACGCGGAATTACCGAGAACTTTTTACTTCAAATCCGTATACTGGCGGAAGGCGGAACCAACTTGTCCATAGTATATACAGTCTATGGTCACTGGCCAAACCAACTCACTTTGAATAATGGCTGAAGCTTACTTACTCACTGAGCTAATGCCAGCAGCATCAGCATTAGTTGATAATTGTGTGTTTGCCAAAAGCACGCTTTGTCTCCAGCCTCAGATCAAAGTGTGGTGATTTTTGGCTCAGTCTCAGAAAAGAGAGTGACCGCGGCCAAGGTGAAGAACCCCTGAGGCCAACAAACTGACATGGCATTGGTGTGGTTAATGAATGGGAGCATCGCTGCTGTGCGTGAGCAACATTAGTTTAAGGATCAACCGCTGTTTGATGGCTTCATACACTGATTTGTGTGACTTCTTCACCCTGTGTCAAGAGCAGCCTGCAGCCTCATCCTGAAATTATGCACCTGTACCTCAAAGTCTATCAGCCTGAAAACCTTTAGCATGGACATACAACATTTTAACTTCACATTTTACAATATGACAAAAACGATTAAATCACATCTTGTTCAGATTATGATAGGAGAATATAACTGAGGCTGAGCCCGAATATGAATATGATAACTAAGTGCAAAAATTAACTTAAAGTTTATTGCAACATATGAAATATAAAAAAAAAAAACTGCAGCCTGCTAAAGTGCAGCACAATCACTAACACTTTTTAAAATTAAATTAAATACAATAAATAAGAGCATATCAAACCTCTGGGAGTCACACTCTGATGTTAAAAGCCAATGCAAAGATTATTCAGACCATGATTTCAAAATCTCAGAGGTCTAAACAGCTCTAGTATTTAGGGGTAGACTGTTGCATGAGGTCACTGCTGCAAGGACAGGTTATCCAAGTCTACTCAGAGGAACTTCCTCCATGATGGTCACAATTAAATGCAGCCACAACAATTCAAATCCAACTGTTCCTCTGCAGCAGAACCATCCAGGAGCAACCTGACTGTTCTCATTCATGTAGACGTCCTCAGAAGAGACCTGCAGCAGCATTTCCAGTCCTCCTAATCATCCATCCAGCTCTCCCTTCCTCTCTGTGACAGCATCTCTCCTGAGAACATCCAGGATTTATGATATTGGACGTCCTTGCGGCTGATGTTTATGTGTTGGCTCACACAGCTGCAGTTTACTGGCTGGGAGCTCTGACAGGGTGTCTCTGTGGACTTGAGTGTCCCAGTTCTGATCCTTTCCTGATTCTGATCATGTTGTGGATTTGATGTTCACGTGAGTAACCTGGTCATTCAAACCCTGATATATACTAGTATCTGGACAAACCATCAGAGACGACAATTGTGGCTTCTAGGGGGTTTAGCTTTATTAAGCTCGAAGGTGTTGCAGACATGGCAGACCCTTGTTTCAAGAGGAGAGAGAAGAGGTTTGAGAAAGGGGGTGTGAATAACCAGGTTTCTCTGCATACATCTGATCTGAAGGTGAGTCACAGTGTCTCCACTGTATGTTTAACCATGTTCCAAAAACACGTCCATCATTTTTAGATCTGGTCTTACAAGACACACCAGAATGTGACCCTGAATGCAGGCTG